TAGTAGCTGGTTGTGTTGTTTTTTCTTTGGACATAGGAATACCAATGCTTTTGCACATAGCCAAGAATTTGTTTAAGTCGTTGGCACAATCAGTGTAAGAAGGAGCTGCAATAAAGAAGTCATCCAGTAAGTGTAACATGTGCTGTATCTTGCAGTTTTTATGAGCTGCCCATTGAATTGCAGTGCTAAATGTTTCAAAGATTTGGCAAGAACAGGATAAACCCATGGGAAGAGTTTTATCGAAGTAAAGCTGCGATTCAAATGAGAAGCCCAATAAGAAGCGAAAGTCTGGATGAATTGGGACCAGTCTGAAAGCATTCTCAATGTCCGTTTTGGCCATATGGGCTCCCCGGCCTAAAGTCTTAAGAATTGATATGGCTTGAGTAACAGTGCTGTATTGCACTGAGGAATACTTGTCACCAATACCATCGTTGACTGAGGCCCTGACCGGGTGTGACAAGTGATGTATGAATCTGAATTTTCCAGGTGTCTTTTTAGGCACAACTCCCACCGGTGATAGTATAAAGATTGGATATGGTGAGATTTCAAATGGCCCCTCTATTCGACCGTTTTGTAGTTCCCCTGCGATTTTTGTTCGTACTGCTTCGGGCCACTCAGCTGCTGATTTCAGGTTGGTTTTTGATGATTGAGGCAGGGGACCTTCAAAGGGAATTTGGAAGCCGTGGGTAAATCCATTAACTAAATATAGTCTAATACGTGGTGTATAGTGTTGTAGAATTTGGGCTAAAGCCAGGGGGCTGATGGGTGATACAATGTCTCGGTACTTTGACGATGCTGACTTATTTAATGCGATTGCTGATAGGATGGGGGCCTTAGCGGCGTCTGTTGAAGGCACCTCTTCTGTTGAAAGGTTGTGGGCGTTGTTGTCTAACTCTTTGCTGTTGTGGCTGGTAATAAGTGTGGGAAGCTTGTGAGCACACTGATGATGGGTGTTGGCCCCGACATAGGGAACATCTGTGGGAGTACTGGCAGGATTTGTTGTCGCAATAGATCCCCCTGTTCCAACGAAAACAAGAGGCCGTGCGTTGAGGTTGTATCTGGGGTCGTTGTACAAAGCTTAGGTCTGCCAGTAGAATGGCATCAGGTGCTTGCCACTTGTAATTCATGGCCTTAAAGTTGGCCCTAAAGCGCTCATCGTATGTCCGCCAGTAACCAAATTTTCCGAGGTACATTTCCAGTATTCTGTTTCCATATTGGAGGAGGTTGCCAGCCTCTTCTGGGTGCTTTAGAAGGTATATAATACAGAATGTATTGTAGGCCGACTGCCATTGGGCAAAAGATAATTGTGTACTTTTCTTAGAAACTGGCGAGTAGATGATGGCCATGTTTCCCTCTGCGTCCGTTTTTCTTTTTTGAATAAACTGCTCCTCCTCTGTTTGATCACATGAAGAAAAGGCATTTGAATGTGGCGATAGTAAGTCACGAAAAGATACGTATTCATCATTCCAAATTTTAGCGCGTAGAGGGGCAGAAACATGGCTGTCCAGAGGGGTTTGAGGGGATATCGGTAATCTGTCCTGTGCGTGAATTTGACCCGGCTGTGATGCCTGCTGCCCGTGGAAGAGGATGGGTTGGCTGTTGGAGGTTGTGTTCAAGAGTTGGGATGAAAGTGAAGCTGCATGAGCGTTGGGAGCCTGGTGGCCAGATGTCAAGTTACCAGCGGTAATGGCTGTGGGATCTGGGCCGGCGGTGGCGGGAACCTGGGGAGATGGGAGGCTGTCTTGTGATGGCTGCATTGTCGTTACCCTGGGAATGTTTGTGTCTAGGTCCAGCAGTTGAAGATGTGCAGACGGCCCCTGTACCGTCTGCAATGGTGCCAGAACGGGTCTTNTGTATATGCAAACTCAGCCTATGCCTAGCTTAAATAAAAAAGTTTCTTTATCATCCCTAAGATGGCAGTCACAACCAGTTAGTTGACCCACTTCAAAGCTTGCCACATAATCCCCTAACAGACTCTGAATAGATTCCTTGAAGGGATTTCGCGGCTTGCTGTCAGCCGAGCTTTCAATATTTGATCCACTGACTAGTTAGACCATGGAACAAATGGTTGTGAATGCTCTCTTAATTCTTCTGTGTGTTAATGGCAGTGGTGCCCACGGCTCTCAGGGTTTCCTGTGTGCACTTTGCCTGTCAGCAACTCTGGTATATCAGGAGAAAAAAACAAAAACAAAACATCAAATATGTGGCGAAAGATGACTAAATCTATGGTTGGACATTAGAATGTGTGGTCTTTTTTGACTATCAGCCTGTTCTAGAAAACAGAATGTACATGTTGTGAAGCACTTCATCATAATTGAAGCTGATGTTTCATAAGTTTAGTCTTACTATTTGAATATATCTTGCTAAAAATGAAATACTAGTACTTGTCATGTCTCATTAGGCTCCCCTGTGTTATTATAACACTGAGCTGCAGACTTGATGGAATGAAGGAGTTACGGACCATTCATATGAAAAATCTATTTTCTAAAAATCTATTTTCTATTCGCGGTATCTTGTGATCACGGTCTGTGCCCTGAAGACCCCGTGGCGTAACTACTGGCAGCGCGACCCAGTTACTTCCAAAGCTGTAATTAATTCTTGGCTGCGCTCGGAGTGATCACAAGATACCGGCAATAGAAAAAAGATTTTTCATATGAACGGTCCCTTATTTTGTTGTATGTGAGCAACAGCACGATCCAGAACTGGTGTTTTAAAGTTGTTTATATAATGGTGTTTTTGTTAATGTTGCAGCCCCAAATGTAATCTTGACAAGTTGCCATTTTCCCTGTTTTAATTACTAGACTGTTTGGATTTTTTAAAGGGGTGGGAAATATTGACAGAAAATACCTCATTAGAACTGATCTTGAACTCTTTTTGGTATTTTAATATTGATTTATTTTGATTTTTATGGATATTTAAATCATAATGTTTTCGGTTTTTATACAAGATTTTTCATATTATTATAATATATTTAATTAATATAATGTGAGCTAAAGTCGTTTACACTGTCCTGTCCTATAAAAGACATTGAGTGTTGATAGTCATCTTCCCTTTTTTCCAAGTCTGAACAGAATTCACATCTCAGGCTTATCTCTATTTTTGACAACTACAATTTCATTGTTATGATCATTGCATGTTTAGGGTCTGTATAATAGAGTTAATCAGTGAATCTCAGTAATCGCTTTATTTCCACACAAAAATATCACCTCTTCAGACCTTCACATCTTAGCTGAGAGTTTGTAAACATTTAACATTTATTGTGTAGACATACTTTTACAAAAGCCAGACACACCATTTCACCTTTGTACTTGAAAGAGAATATTGTATTGATGATTCTGTTTACTCAGTGCTTGGGTATTGATTTTCCTCACTTTAGATATTGATCAGTTACATTAGTTCCACAATGAACACATTAATCATATTCACATAATAGTTGCCTTATGTAATCTTATTTAGTATTTGCCTTGCATGGGCTATTTTAGTTCAATGGTATTCAGCAGGGAGAGAGCTGGTGGTGGTTTTTACGGGGCAGCAGAAGGGGGTGGGGGGCCTTCCTTTTTTTCAGGTCCATTAACAGGGGCAGGTTCGAGGTGGGGGGGGGGGGGGTAAATGGACAACCCTTTTACTAGTAATTGAGCAAGGTCTGCTCTAAACTGTTTGACCTAGGTTTTATTAGCACACTTATTTTGCAATAAAATGATCCACTTAAAAAAGGCAGAAATTAAGAAAGAAACTGCTGGCTGTAGGTCTAATATACATGAAAATACATACTAGTAAAATAATGCTGTTATGCACATTGTAGATGGCTACTAATGATGTGTTCATGTTGTGATAACTACACCTATATATACACAATATACAAGGAGTATTTCTTAATCTTTTAAAAATCTTTTCTCCTTTTCTCATTTTTAGTATTATAATAATGATAAAGTGCATGTACCTATTTACCTGTTCAAATATATTATGACTCTGCGCAGTGGCGGTACCACATAGCCAATGAGGTTTATCCAAGGCCTGGTTATTGCTAGATGAAATTATACTGACAAACGGAAAACCTTGCATAGGTGTTTTAAGATACATTGACATATTACTGGTACTAGTAATGCCTTTGTTAATCACAGCATTGCATATGGCTGTATGCATGGCACAGCAGTACATGCAATTAACATGACAAACACACACACACACACACACACACACACACACACACACACACACACACACACACGCGCGGCACATTTTTTTAAAAGAACTGATAGGCCCCATTCAGAATAGGGGACTAACTAACCCGAGGGTCAAATATGGCGACACACTACAAAGCTTGTTGTCTAATCCGCTAATAGACACTGAATAGATATCCCATGGGGAAGTATTCAAGTGGGTCGGCCATATTTGATTCTCGGACTAGTTAGTCCCCTATTCTGAATGGGGCCATATACTGGTAAATGCAATACATGTCTTTTATCCACATAATTATTCAGTATAACATTATTTCAGACATCTCCCCATGTGGTGATACCACCTGCACAATGTTTTTGAATGCCCCAAGTCTATAATAACAACAGTGGATGAAAACATGTTTTAGCAGTGATGGAATTCATCTCATCTTCTATATATGTAACTTCAGTATACCATGGAAGGGACAAGTCTCTGATTAGTACTTTAGTATGAGAAATTGACATAATGCTACAAGCTAACTGTGTTGACAAATTATTTGCTATTTTATGACTTTGGTGATTGTTAGAGTAGACTTGTCCTCAGGGATGTGCATGGCCATTTGTTGATGAATTTTGTCAGGTTTTGACTGTTGTTGCAGTCTGTCATTTTATATGTTTATAGGATGGGGTCCTGGGGGGAAGGGGAGGTGAGCTGCTCTGGAGAATGATGAGAAGTACAGGGATGTGCAGTGGGTACCCATCCACACCATCTATTATTATTCTTTTAGTAATTTATTAAGTACTATTATTATTATTATTATTATTATTATTGTTATATTTCAGGCACTGGAACATTTGGTCGTGTGGTGTTAACAAGACACAAAGAAACCAAGGAGTATTTTGCTCTGAAGATCATGACAATATCAGAGGTCATCCGACTGAAACAAGTGGAACATGTCAGGAACGAGAAAGCCATCCTTAAGACTATCAATCATCCGTTCATCGTCAACATGTAAGTACTTGGTATGTTGTGTTAAAGTGAGAGAAGAAAGAAGTGTGCAGATGGATGGAGATTATCCGAGATCATAGCCTAAAACACGGTTGTGAATACTGGATAGTATATTGTCGTATAAGACTAGAAAACACAAGGGAATCAGTGTGAGATGGGTTAACCTTTAAGCAACAAGAGTGAAACTGTATGCGTCTTAGAAAGCAATACAAAAGTAACATGCCAAACATGATGAATACGTACTAGTCCTGTTGTGCAAAAGAATTCAGTTATCTTTAACAACCAGAAAATTATTCCTGGATGAATTTTGTCTGCTTTTAACTGGTGTCTCAGTCCCTCATTTTTTCTGAGCCTACTAACTTTCAAATCTTGCAAAATATCACCTGATTTTGTATAAGTTACAAGACTTTGGGTTGTCTTGGATGGTTCTCATTGTGTTAGTTGTGCCTAGACTTCTGATGCAATTGAAGACTTCCTTGATGAAGGCTGCCATCTTATACAACTAAAACAAGGAAATTGGCACAAAAAAGCACCAAAACTAGTTATCCTATCCCAGTTGATCTAAAGAAGACCCCATCCCCAAAGACACCATCTGTTTGTGTAAATTGACCCAACTCTGCGGGGACTCCAGCTGAGTGCAGTCAGCCGTACCGAATCACGTGCCTTCTCTTGTTTCCAATGTACCTGTGGGATCACAAGGTTTTTTGTATTCTAAGTAATGCCAAGAGAAGGCATCTTAAACTGATTGCCTTTTTTTTGCCCATAAAATCATGTAGATTATACTTCAAAATTGACAAAGTGCCTCAACTTTTCAAAATTTTCTAATAGCCTGTCAGTATACAGTAACTCATGAACAACTGTTTTCTACAGTAGTTTGCCAATTTTTCAATTGATGTTTTGGGCATTTTCACTCACTGGTGAGATAACTGTGTCATCATTTGCTTTAAACCTGTGCAATTTTATTTATTACATATAATTTAATTTATGTATTAATTTATTTTATAATTTAGTTATTCATGGATTGATTAATAAATCAATGAATCTTTTAATTAATTGATTTGTTTATTTATTAATTTATTATTATTATTATATTTGTAGGTTGTGGGCACACCATGATGAAACCTTCCTGTATATGCTCCTGGAATACGTTCCCGGTGGAGAACTGTTTTCATATCTAAGAAACGCTGGACGTTTTAATACTGCCACAGGCAACTTTTATGCAGCAGAAATCATTAGTGCGCTGGATTATTTGCACGGATCAGGGATAGTTTACAGAGACTTAAAGCCAGAGAACTTGTTGTTGGACAGAGAGGGGCATCTGAAGATTACAGATTTTGGATTTGCCAAGAAGCTATCAGACAGGTAAAATGCCATGATGATGGGTCATGAACACTTGGTATAGTGATTAGTATAGAAATCACTTATTACCAACTTTTTGTCACTACAATATTTTGATAACCAGGAAATCAACTGCTGAAAACATTTTATATGACTTGAACCCTGTTAAATATTTAGAATTTTTCAGATTATCATGATAGTACCTACGGAACATACGATGGAAGCATACACTTTTTCTGTTAGAATGTATGATTACCATATGTGAAATTACTGCTAATTTTGAACAGAAACATAAACACCCTCCCCTCCTCCCCCATCCTATTATTTATTATAGAAAATTCAAGAGCTAAATGACCATCATTCTCTAAATCCTAAAATACAATATACTGATTAGCTTCAAGATAACTTTAACTTTAATATGCTTGTTATTGAGTGCCAGTATTGATATTTTATTTCAGAACATGGACGCTGTGCGGCACACCAGAATATTTAGCGCCAGAGATCATTCAAAGTAAAGGACACAATAAGGCTGTTGACTGGTGGGCCCTGGGTATTCTAATATATGAGATGTTGGTAGGGTAAGTGATAATATGGATAATAAAGCTGTAGACATGTTATTCAAATGTATGATTGTGTATATGGTGAAGTAAGTGATCAAATAAAATATACATGACAAATTGATGTCAGCTTGTGAGTTTAGTGAAAAAATGTGCAGTTTAGTTGTACACTCTTGGGATTGCCATGTTACTTAATTATACATTTATCAGAATGTAGCAGCAAAATTCTCGACATGATAGAATCTTATATCAGAAACTTCATTTTATGTGAAAAAAGTAGCTGAATCAGATGTTGCAGAGTGCATCAAATAAACCATTATTTTTTTATAATTATAGAATTGGTAAACATGAAATTATTCTTTAAAATTTGTTCTCTGCAGCTATCCTCCTTTCTTTGATGACGTCCCATTCCAAATCTATGAGAAGATCCTGGCAGGGAAGATAGACTGGCCAAAACATCTAGACCTCATTGCCAAGTAAGTCCTGCAGCTGTGTTTACACTGGGACGAACCTGGTCCATGCACCATTGGTTCGCACCATTCAGTCGGGAGAGTTTTTTTTTTTTAAATTAGGGAATAACAAGACATTAGATTCAAATCCTGATGCTGGCCCTCAGAACTCTGAACTATTAACTGTTTGGTCCTTTTCATATTTTTAAATCCAGGTTCAAGTCTGTGTAAATGATCTGTGTACGTAGCAATATGCTGTGCTGTAATTTGATTTGGTATTGGTCATGTGGTGGTCTACTTCAATATAAGATAAATCCTAAATAATCCACTGTGGCAATTGTGCGTGTCAGCCTGGAACCACATTGGCTATCTAGTTTTGCTAATAAAAAAGGCACAATTTTTCATTCAATTGGATAATTTCTGATTTAGTCTAAAAGTTAACGCCAATTTTTGGGTTTAAATTCTTTAAGAAAAACTTGCATTTGGCCTGAAAGCTGCAGCAAGTTTATCAAGTTATTTATAAGTATTTTTGTTTTCTTATTTCAGAGACCTGATAAAAAAGCTGCTAGTTGCAGATAGAACTAGAAGACTGGGCAATATGAAGGTAGAGTATTACCTCGTTATAAATCTGTGTTCTCTCATTGAAAACTGTAACAGGACATATTGCACATTTTGTCAAGCATACTGGTCTGCATGTGGCCATGTTTCCCTCCCATCTATTCAATATTTAAAATGTAAAATAGGTCATTTAGTATGGACAAATCTGTATGTGATATATATACTAGTATATATATAATTCAATAAATCATGGAATTGTGAATATCTATAATAGTTTTTAACGTACAGGCTGCTTTCATGAAAAATGTGATGTTTTTTGTCATACCCTGAAAATACTTTTGCAGGTTTTATTATGTTTATAATGATAAAACCTGTGGTCCTGTTTCAGAATGGTGCTGAAGATGTGAAGAATCACAAGTGGTTCAAATCACTGAATTGGGAAGAAGTGGCTCTGAGAAAACTCAAGGTAGGTTGAGAATACTTTCTGTTGTCACATCTAACGCAATGTTTTGTGTTCTATAAATGGTTGGGATCTCACCTAACACAATTGCTCATTTGGTGTACAGTAGTGGTGAAGGTCTTATAAAGCAGAGTGGGACATGCTTTATTTCGTGATATTTTAGTTAGAGACTTGAACTTTGGCCTTTTTTGAGAATGTTTTTTATGTGGAAAGGGAAATTGAGGAAGTTGAGGAATTTCATTTAAATCAGATTCTGGGAGAAAAATGGGATAACTACACTTTCAGCTAGTCTTTTTATAGCAAAGCATTCTCTGTTTTTTCCCTTGAAGTTAAGAGTAAATCACTCAGCACATCTTCAGTTTTGGGGTTTTACTTAAAATCTTAGAAATGTACCATAAAAAAACGTGATAATCTTATATAAGTAAACCCAGCATATGAAACCATCCAGTTTGTGTGTGTGTGTGTGTGTGTGTGTGTATGTGTGTGTTTGTGTGTGTGTGCAGTAAAGAGTAAAACTGATCATTAATTCTCTTATTATTCGGAGCATTGATAATATAGTTAAAGTACGTGTAGCTACTCCTTTTTTATGTTGTTTAAAAGTGAAAAGTTAAATGTGAACATGGCAAACGATACAGTGAATTGAACATATGTTCTCCCTGACACCACCCCCCCCCCCTCTCTCTCTCTCCTGCCCCTAATAGCCTGGATAATTGGTAATTTCAGTGCTCCCTTACCACCTCGAAAATAACTATTGTTCAGACAACATTTTTTTCTTGGACTGCTGTTGTCAGCAATTTAGACAGTCTGCCTCAAAGCCAGGGATTTTATCCCCAGAAGTGAATTAGCCTTAGTATGAAAAAGTGGCGAAAGAATATTCAAAATACCCTTGATTAAAAAATCTGTCAAAAGGCAGAATATTCCCTAGTGGTATCAAGGTGCCTTGAAAACTCTTTGAAACCCTAACCCAACAGTATACAGATATTTATAAAGATGCACATCTTCACATGTAAGAAGATACACTATAATTTGACTTCAAAGGTTCTGATTTGATCTGAGCTCATTACTCCTGGCACACGTAGATTTATGATATAATATGTACCTGTCTGTTACCTTGCCTGAACAGTTTCTGTTTCCTACCTTCTAAAAATGGAGAACGCTAATGTCTCTTTGCCAGGTTATTGATCTGAGTTCATTAATAATAGGGTTAGGCACAAATAGATATATAATATACTATGTACCTGGTCAACATGGGTGTTGGGAACATGGGGTTATATTTCACTGCCTGGCTCAAAAGTATTCACAAGTAACAGTTTTCATTTTTATCTGAGGTTTTGATTTTCACCTTCTTTTCTTGTCTTTTATTATTATTATTATTATTATTTTTTTTTTTTGCTATGTTATAGTACACTTATTTTAATGCTGTGTGACAATATTTGAGATATTTCATTGTGTCAGGTGTGACAGTGGTTAAGTTGTTTCATTGTGTCAGATGTGACAGTGGTTAAATTTCATTGTGTCAGGTGTGACAGTGGGTAAATTGTGTCATTGTGTTAGGTGTGACATTGGTTGAACTGTGTCATTGTGAAAAAGTTAGCAGTGCCAGTGTGTGGGATGTGATAGTAAGTAGTGTCATTCATTGTGTCATTCATTGTACCGACATGTTACATTTATGAAGATACCTACCACATTTGGAATTTCATAAGATATATTTTATTTTAGTAAGGTCAGCTATTATGACGATGAGAAGAGGGGTCTATTTACTTTGTATGAATGCTTTAACCTGGAAGTTTTTTTTGAAAATTCATTTCTATTCAAATATCATTTTCATTACATGTGCACCTTGTATATATATCAACCTTGCTCTCATTGTATGCACTTTCACTGACGATTGATTTCATTCACGGAAATGAATTTTAAAAGTTTGTGGAGTCTGCACAAAAAACGTTCTGGATGTATATCATTGTTGAGACTGCCCCCTGTCTTTTTGATGTAGATAGAGATTCCAGGAATTTCCTGTAGTAGGCTTTGGCAGACAACGAAATATTTGATGTAAACAATTTCATTGTAGCTGTTGATTGAAGAAAAAATTACTTTATTCTTTGATCAACCTCATCTTTTCTAATCCTTTAAGGATTATCTCATCAGTAACTTAAATGAAATATTCTAAAAAACGGGTGTCATCTTACACATTTTGAGTATGGTTCCACAAACTCAGTAAATGTCCTCTAATTTCTGTCCTATAAATATATCCTTTACATTTATAACATTGCTTTAGTTGAGAGAAATGCATTAGCTTTGACATTGCCATTGAACTGCTTTCTAAATGTCGTATTTATTGATAATTTGAAGCACCCCTTCACACCCCTGCCCCCACCCCCTCACTCCCCTGCCCCCACCCCCTCACACCCCTGCCCCCACCCCCCACCCGCTCCATCCACACACACACACAGAGTAAAGTGTAACTATTCAATATGATTTCCTGACTCCTTATTGGTATTTGTATGAAATACATCAACTGCCCAATTTTTTTTTTTGCCAACATGTCTTCTGGTTTGGAAAAACATACCCATAAGTGATGTCATAGACCATTTGCAAGTGACATCACTTCCCAGCTGTTATGGGCAATAGATGGCAGCAGGTGTTAAAGATCTCTGTACAGATTTAAAGAAACATGATGTGGAGATTTTTGTTTATAAATTATAGTAAATGTAAGTTGACCAAAGATACATTAAAAAAAAAGACCATTAGTATAAATTTACATGGGAATATGTGTTTTCTGAAGCACAAGTTTGTTTCCAAAGCCAGACATAAGAAACCAGACTTTTTCTTGGAGGATCTCTGTTTTGGCACCACTGCTAATCTGCTATTTTCTACACAGGATAGTGTCATCAGTGCAAATGGTCTGTAATCTACCCCTTATGTACTGACCTCATTTGTGACTTCTGCTACAATGTTTATTTTCAGCCCTCTATTGTGCCTCAAATAGGAGACCCTGGCGACAGGGAGTGCTTTGCTGATTTTGGCGAGGACCCGTTCTGGGAGTCTGCCAAGCCTGTCAACGCAGATGAATATTTGAAATTCAAAGGCTTTTGATATCGCATACTTATTGTCTGTTACCTTGCCTCCTCACACTGAAGAGTTTCTGTTTCCTACCTTCTAAAAATGGAGAACTCTAATGCCTCTATGCCAGTTTCTGACTGCACAAGCACTGTTCCTCTTCTAAAGAAACTATTTCCAGTTGTAGCATCTATCATGCCTACTCTTTTGCCTTTCACTTACTACTATTATAACTGAATGGCCTGGCACCAATGGGACACTTGCATAAAATAGTGTTTTTAGTTTTTATGACTCTTTCATTATTGAAAAATGTCATGCCAGTTGTAAGACAATCATTGAGATAAAAACCAACTGACAGTAGCAGCAAATTAAGATTAATGATCGGCTATGTGAAATCTGGGGATGAAAACTCACAAATGCTTTATACTGCAGATACTGGAGATAAGCACCTTCTTGTGTATCCTAAGTGGACTGCCTTATAGTACATGTAACTATATATAGTAGCAAACTCAGTATTGATATTATCCGGATATTTATACATGTAAAATCACAGTACCGTCAAGTATACTAGTGTTTGTGTTTCATTTGGAATGGCATGTATTTTCTAACATAATCATATATCAAATGTTGGTGTGTATAGACCATTTGGAATTGCTACTACATTAAGGATTGTTCAAGACATGTTGCCTTTAACCAAAGATGATCTTTTGTTGCATAAGTAAAAGTACAGTCAAAACAAGTGCCATATTTAGTCAGGTCTCGTATGGGCGATGATATATTTACAATACTACAGTTGCTGCAGTCTACAAACCTCACATGTTTTGAATGCATTTTACATAATTATGCAGTATTAGCTTTAAACTATTTACTGATTTGTAACTTCTGAATAGTAATTCAGTGATGTTATAACCAAAAGTTCAATTTACAAATTGAGTTCAGCTAAACTGTTGCATGTATTTCTGTGTCAAATTATAATTAGTTGTGCAATAAAGGAAGAAAGGAGAAGGAGAGATAAGTTAGAACATGAGATCTGTTTTATGGATTGTATCAGTTATGTTTTTAGTTGAAGATGTGCTACATACAATCTGTTTACGATACAGATATCATTGATATTGCATAATGGGAAGATTGAATGCTCATTAATAAAAAAAAAATAATACGCAAGACATTTATTTAATCATATCCTGATTTGTAAAAAAAGTGAACTTTCTGCAGTTTTCATAGGCAGAAGTCAATTAAAGTGACTTACAGAAATGGATCACAAAACTATGAAACTTTTGTCTTTAGACAAAAAAAGATATCAGTTTGTTTGCTAACATTGGAGTCAAAATCATGCCTGAAGAGAAGGCGAAGAATGACGTTTTTAGGAACTACCACACATAAATAAAGTCAAACTCATTGCTAATAAAAGTTGAAAAGAAATCAAGCAGATTAATTTCTACGGCTCCATAATTCCACCAGGGTACCTCAATTCTGCTCCAAATTTATCTGAGCAGATCAAAGTTGACCTTTAAGGCGGACGAGAAGATGTTTAGACAGGATGTGTCAGAGCGGCAGGTTTCACTGTCAAGATTGTTCAAATGTTTACCTGGAGGTTCTTCCTAGCATTTTAACACCTTTGTTCACCCTGGAGTGGTCCTGGTCTTCATTTCTATGGAACAATTTAAAACTCATCAGTTTTTGTACTCTTTTAATTGAATTTATTTATTTATTTATTGCAATATTTTCAGAAATAAGAGCAACATTCTTTGAAGAGAAAACCTTATCACAGACTTTATATTATACCAGATTGGATAGATTTTGCTCTGGTGGCAATGGTTTACCTAAAAAATCATGATCGTAGTATTTCATCATCACACAAAGATAAAATCTAAATGTTGCAGATTCTTTGGCTTTTGAACAAAGTTATGGCCATTTTAGAATATTTTACATTATAACCAAATACTTCAAAATTGTCCAATATATTCTGGATAGAAAACACACACACTCTGAAATCAAAGAAAAAATATCTATCCTAATGGTGGGATGTTAAGATCTGAATCACCATGCAGCTCAAACTGTGAAATTCCATCAGAGGGCAAGGTGTCCTTTACCAGTCCGTTTCTGTTTCCGTTGCTGGCCCATCTCAGTAAATTATTGTTATTTTACCAGCCAGATATCCTGGGCACCTGATCACATTCCAGGAAACATTTTGGGAATTGTACCAGAATGAGCAAAGGTCGTGTCTAGTTTCTACAGTTCCCTGTTTAATGTTAAGTAACCTGTGCCTCTGACACTTACTGTGGATAGAGTTTAAAGACTTTGAAAATATTGCTTTATCATTACCTGCAGTTTGAAGCAAATTTTGCAAATGAGTTGGAACCAATATGGAAAAGAAACAAAAATAACTGCAGGAAAGCAGGTGTAACAGTTTTTTGTTTTAATTTTTCCTGGTGGGTCTCCCAAAGCTAAAATTTTCAGATTAGAAAAATATTTTTCGATTGGCACTTAAAAATATGAAAGTAAAGTACCAGTAAAGGTACAGTTAAAAAGGGCTTTATTTCATGCAAATTACAGTAGTCAGGGCAACATTACATAATTTTTTTCATTGAGGCCTCCAATGGTAAAATCTGTGTAGGTACCCATCCTTGGAATGGGTTCCAATAGGGTAAAAGTCAAATGAGTTTCAGAAATACGACAAAATTCAAAGAGGGTCCCAATGGTAAAACACAATGTCAGTCCTCTAAGGCAGTATCTTAAGAGATGTTGAATTACGTATTCATGTGATATACCACAATTACTCAATCTTTTCAAAAGGGAGAAAATTATGAATTTGACAAAAAATTTTAAAAATTAGAATGTTCCTATTGGTGGTAGCAACAAAATACGAAAGCAGGGTATTCTGTAGTTCCATCCTATGGAGTAAAAAGCACCACAAGCTCCGTGCAGAAATATAATTTTGTGATTATAAAATTACGTAATTAAAAGTTTGATAATTTTTGTCCATTAGAAAGATGGTGTATGTTATTACCATATTGTAGATTTCTACAAACTTTATACAAAGATGATTCCTAGGCTCACCTGTTTATGGCCTCAAGGATCTGGTACATGTACTGTTATGTAGTTACATGTACTTTTATATGGGAACTAGCAGTATACATCACAATTACTTTACTCCCAGGGTATCCCACTGGGTTGTAGCCACTATAAGGTTATCTTTACACAGTGAATGGAGATACGGAGTATCATATAGGTGTACAGTATTTATTGGTGGTATTCAGTAATAAACCAACAGGTGCTTATCCTCACTATCTGTAGTATAAAGCAGCGGGAGGTTGTGTTTTGTAACCCTATCTGCATTATGTTGAATGTACATTGGAGATTTTGATTGAAGTTTCAATTTCAGAAAATGATAAGCTGTTAAGAAGAACAAATCCCTCTCGGTTCGACTTGTGGAGCATTTTTACACTTAAAATATTTGTTGGGATAATATAAATATTGGCAGGTATGAAGACATTCTCTACTCATAGACCCCCCTGGAGCAGCCAGGCCCTAGACACCCCAACCCAAACAATTTCATTTAGCCAATTCCCATCCTCTCTAACTTCCCTTTAGACCAAGCATATAAGCATGAGGGTTTTAAGTGATTCTCTACAACTTCCTTTTTGGCTGGTAAAAAAGTCCACTTTTCTGAAAAAAGCTCCCTATCCCACAGACCTGTAGACAAGCATGGCCACCAAAATGTACATGTCTGCAGGCTAGTTTTTATGTGTTATACATATAATGGAATGTTGGTGTGTAGATATTATGGTGATTTATTGCCCTTGAGATACTGGTCTATGGCATCCTGGACATGCTGGTGGCTGGGGTTTATATGGCAGCTAAGACCAGGGAAGGATATTTAGTGGGTGTTTGTCTGTAGAAAGGTGTTTTCAACAAGTGCCTGTTTTATATAAACAAACCAGATGTGTTGGCAATAAGGGGGGGGGGGGGGCACTCAAAAGAAAGAACCACTGTTAATGATATTAGAAAAAGATTCATTTAAAATCAATTTTGATTCAATACAATACAAACACGATGTTTTACAAAAAATAACTGCACTTTTTCAGAAAAAAGCACCCTCCCTTTGCTATTGCTGTCGACTGGCCATTAAAGAAACCAGTCAAAATGCAAGGCTTTACGGTGTGGCTTGAATGTAACATCTACATGTAAAACATGGCTTTGCAGAATGTATGGGTCTGTAGAATGTTTTGGAAATTCCCTTTCAACAAGTACACTTCTGTTTGTAAAACATTGGGTTCCTCATCCCTCACACAAGCATTGAGAGTGCACTGGTGTATCCTAGATAAAAGAGAGGGAGGGGAAGGACTTCACTTTTGGCCCACACCCTCTCCTTAGTTCTGGCTTTGGTATGTGCAATGAAAAGTCTTCAATAAGCTTTTTTGAAATTATAGTTCAAATTATATGGTCACTGGTGTCATATTTTTGTTAACATTTATACTACCAATTCGATAGATATATTGAAAATTACCACTAACATTTGAAGAACCTAATTTCATACTGGAGGCAGCCATAACTTATACGGGAACAACAATGCATTATGGGAGATATACTAATTGTGTTAATTATATGCAACCGCTGGAAAATGTGTACAGTACTTTGGTGGTCTGCATGGACCTAAACTAACCCATGAATAGCTCTGTCTGAACACACCAAATAGAACCAAGATTTGAGATGTCTGAAAGGTAGTTATATCTCTCTCTGTCTGAACACACCAAATAGTACCAAGATTTGAGATGTCTAAAAGGAAGTTATATCTCTCTCTGTCTGAACACACCAAATAGTACCAAGATTTGAGATGTCTGAAAGGTAGTTATATCTCTCTCTGTCTGAACACACCAAATAGTACCAAGATTTGAGATGTCTGAAAGGTAGTTATATCTCTCTCTGTCTGAACACACCAAATAGTACCAAGATTTGAGATGTCTAAAAGGAAGTTATATCTCTCTCTGTCTGAACACACCAAATAGTACCAAGATTTGAGATGTCTGAAAGGTAGTTATATCTCTCTCTGTCTGAACACACCAAATAGTACCAAGATTTGAGATGTCTGAAAGGTAGTTATATCTCTCTCTGTCTGAACACACCAAATAGTACCAAGATTTGAGATGTCTAAAAGGAAGTTATATCTCTCTCTGTCTGAACACACCAAATAGTACCAAGATTTGAGATGTCTGAAAGGTAGTTATATCTCTCTCTGTCTGAACACACCAAATAGTACCAAGATTTGAGATGTCTGAAAGGTAGTTATATCTCTCTCTGTCTGAACACACCAAATAGTACCAAGATTTGAGATGTCTAAAAGGAAGTTATATCTCTCTCTGTCTGAACACACCAAATAGTACCAAGATTTGAGATGTTTGAAAGGTAGTTATATCTCTCTCTGTCTGAACACACCAAATAGTACCAAGATTTGAGATGTCTGAAAGGTAGTTATATCTCTCTCTGTCTGAACACACCAAATAGTACCAAGATTTGAGATGTCTGAAAGGTAGTTATATCTCTCTCCGTAAAGCCTACTAGAGGATGACCCCATTGAGGATATTGCCAGATGACCTCACTGGGATCCTGACAGTTGAAAAATTCAGGACGAATTGATGTCATGACAACTGATGAAAATTCAAGAAAACTTCCTAATCATTTGAATATACCTTTAGTTACTACATGTATAAGGTGGAACATTCATTTTGATAATTGCCTATTGATGAGGAGGCTTTCTTGCCAGGGCATTTTTGCTGGCAGGTAAATGCTATTTGATTGTTGGCTCAAGTCTGTTTTGGCTGGTTTCTCTACAGTGTGGGTGTTTGGGAAGATTAATGTTTTCTGTTACCAGGTAAAAAACAGCATGACCTGACTAGGGAGCAGCTGAAGGCATACATCAACTAGGTTATTTTATTCTGAAAGCACTGTTAATTGTTTTTATGTTCTTGTTACATGTTTCCAGGTTTTCATTGCCCCTTCCCCCCCTTTTCTCAGCTATGGTCTTGGAAAACGGAAAGAGCATTGCAGGTGAAGCTATGGCCTTTAGTGGGTCCTACTTGAGAATGTTGCAGTTGTAGCTTAGGTGCTCAGTTCAGCATAATTCAACAGCTATTTTCTTATAGCTGTACAAGTTCCAAACTTGGCAAATTACCCTATGTACATTTTTAGACCTCATTCTTCTTCCTCTTCTTCACACAACATAACACACTTGAAAGGTTAATGTCTTTTTACATGCTCAACCTGTGAAAAAAATGTAAGGTTTGAACAGGAAAGTTATTTTCATCATCTGAACGATGTGGCATGCATTTGGAATAAAGACGAATGCTCTCCACAAGGAAAATGAAAGGGGGGGATATACTAGCCATCAAAAAACAATTTGTATCATCCCATCAGTGATAAAACTTTTCACAATGGAAATGTTTATCAGCCTTTGAAATTGTGACTAGGTGAGCAAATTGTGTTTGGTGAGATTGTGCTAGATGTGACTGTGTTAGGTGAGATTGTGCTGGATGTGACTGTGTTAGGTGAGATTGTGCTGGATGTGACTGTGTTAGGTGAGATTGTGCTGGATGTGACTGTGTTAGGTGAGATTGTGCTGGATGTGACTGTGTTAGGTGAGATTGTGAAGTGGTGGAGCAAGGCAAACAGCCAGTTGCTCTCTCCATTGTTATAGCAACACTGCAATTCTTGGCACTGATTTCAGAAACCCTTATTCAGAATGAACTTCATGAATTATTATTATTTATTTATTTTTTTTTTACAGCCACCTATTGTTCCGAAGCTGGCCCACAGTGGCGACACAACCAATTTTGATGACTACCCAGATGATGACTGGAAGAAGGCAAAGCCAGTAACTGCCGAAGAACTGGAAGCTTTTGTTGAATTTTAACATGGAGCCAAACTTAGGAGTTTTAATATTGGGTTTTTATTTTTTAAAGAAATTAAACAATGAAATTTGGAGTTTTATTGAAGATCATTTTTTTAATATTTGAAGTTGAGATTTTGGGTAATGAGAGTTAAAGTTGAGGGTTTGGGACCATTTTGAAGTTTTACAAGGAGTGATTTATTGAGATTCAAACCATTACCAGATTTATAATTTTAACATGTCTGTCCTTGTAATCTTGATATGGGGCTATTCCTTGACTTTACCATTCATGATATTTCGGGAAGTTAAAGGTAAAACCTTTTTTTGTGTGGAAAGTTTACTAAAATCTGAAATGATGTATTGATATTTTTGAAACTTTATGATATATTGGAACCATTCAGGGAAATTAATACCAAGATGATGAATGAATTTGAAGAGAAGGAACTTAAACTGTGCATTGAGGTACCATGCAGTAATGTAACTTGCCTCATGCAAAAGATATGATATTATTTCTGACTTGAGACTTATAAAAACCTTGGCCAGCAGGAAATGTTTGGTGATCAGAAGTATATTCTGTAGAAAATGTTATCAATATTGCTATAGAATATATTAGCAATAGATTGGTGAAGTGTACTTCTTCAAAGTCTGTAAAGATTCCATGACAACATATCCAGGAAATATAGAAGAGGATGCAGTCAGTTGACAACTGCAGCGCCATCTTCAGTGTAAATGGACTGGAAAGTGCCATATTATAAAGTTTACTGGTTCAGGCCCGTAGCCAGCAAATTCAAAAGGGGGGTTCTTTTTCTGAAAAAGTGGACCTTTTACAAAGAGATTTATGTGTATCTAGATAGAAGTTTACCCAAAATGGACCTTTTCCTGACAAAAGGGGCAGTTCTTTCGAACCCCCCGAGCCCCCCCGGCTACGGGCCTGTGGTTGATATATCCTAACTGTGAATGTTATATTTATTCAAGGCACTAAAAGATAAAAGCAGGTTGGGATATACTATATATGTTATTAGAAAGTGTAATCTGAAAAAATATTTCTTGATATTATAATAGCTTACCACCAGGGCCATAGACTGCCAGGGGTGGGGCTGTGTTGCCCCCTTAATCACCCCTCCCCCCCCCCCCCCCCCCCCCCCAATCTTCAACTTTTTTCAGAAACGTGGAACACTGCGTCATTGGGACTGCATTTAACAAAGGATGTCTACACTGCCCATTCTTCCTTGTGATTTAGTGCATTTACAGACCCAGTAATGTTATCAGTTCACTACAGAAAAAGCAAGTGGCCCAATTGGATATTTTTAATTCTTGCAATCATAGCCATGACAGATTCAGACTGAAGGCAATGATGTTTTACAGGAGGGTTGAGGTGTTATTTAGATTGATATAAAAAACATAGTATGGTTTTTAAGTACTGTATATTAGTGACTTTGTGGTTGGTACAAGTTCTGTTTTACTTCGATGTTTTATATATAATTTTATAAGGAAACTGGAGGTCACAGACTGTATATCTTATAGATGTTTTATCCGTTGTTATTTTGAGCACATGTGAATGACGTTTTGTTATTAAGAGCACTTAAGTATACATGTATGTATGTATGTATATATATAATTTTGTAGGTTAAGTATCATGGTATCTGGTATTATGACGGTTATGATACCGCAGAAAATTTAAGAACGATGCTGGGTGTATGGATGCGTCTGAAATCAATGGCGAGTTTTATTCTTGGTTTTCCTCAGGTTTCTCTTGGACCCCTAGTGACATCTGTTGTGAAAATATATACACTGAATATTGTTTATTGTGTATTTATAAGATTTTCTGTTAAGTTCTTTTTAAATTTGTTCAAGTTGTGACGGAGATGTGTATAGATGTAGATATGATGTGAAATATGTAATTTATGCTTCAGAATTTATAAAACCAACTGCCATATCTATGATGTGATAGAGACAGTGCCACAATACATTTTAAGTGCCTTAGAGACAATATGTTATTGCATTGACCTTGTCTCCCACAAACAAGCTCACAAAACTAAACAAAAGACAAACCAATGCGTATCACTATAGATTTAAGGTCAGCACTGAGAAGCTTCCTCAAGTGCATTGAAGGTCACTGGATTGTGTTTTAACTTGAAAATGATGACCTTTCTAAAAGGTCTTTCTGAAGGTCACATAATAATGTAGATAATATGATCTTATTGACCTTAGTTAAGGAAACTTCCTATTTTTACCTTCCAGATCAGTTGGGTATATGTGTCAATGGTATTAATTACGGTGGTCACTATTAAAGGTTGCATAATCTTGATCAAGATGGTCAATAAAAAACATGAACAAGTTAAAAGATTTCTCATGCAGGGTGGAGTATGGGACATTTTCAACAGCTCCAAAATTAAAATATTTTCTATATTACACAAATGAGATTATGTCATTTTTGATACAAGTTAACGTATATAACAGTGCCTAGATTCAACAGGGTCTACAAGTAAGTACAGTGTAGTGTTACCGGCAGTCCAATGTAAGCCTTGTGTTAAAGATATATGCATTGTAGAAGTCAAATGTACATCGAATTAGCTGTGAATAACATGTTGAGATATGTATATTATTTATTTATTTCATTTTCACCATGACATCGACACCTATATTTAATTTGCTTTTTCACCGTTGACTGACCCTTAACGTTATGATACTGTATTAGTAATTCATTAAAGAGTATATGGTGTTCCGTTGTTTAAAAAACGGGTCTCGAATGAATATTGCGTCACTGTAAATCGAGAACACGTTAAGCAAGACGTCCATGTTTTAACCAGCGCACACTCAGAGCAATGTGCTGAGTTACTGGATTGTTAAAGATCCCGAGCCACTGGCAGTCTAGTTCTGTGGCGTTGCTCTTAATGTCTCACTGTCAGGTAGTGTCTTAAGGCAACCATTTTACACCTAACGATCCGGTAGTTCCGCCTGTAGCTTGCAATGTGCGCGAGCCAATGTCCAGTTTTAATTATACGCATTTGATGAGAACAAATTCTGTGCAACAATGAAGCTGTAAGAAAATAAAATTTTATCTGAAACAGTGCCTGTTGTTGTTGTCTTTAATTTGTTGAAAAAAAAAAGACAATTATACAATTGTCATATCACATTTTAAGGTGCACCCATAAAATAAATAGTAAATGGCATGTCAAAGAAATTTTGGGATAAGCTTTCCTGAAATGTAAGATGACAATGTTCTCTAGGAATGATCGAACCCACCGGCTCCATCTTAAATCTATTTAATATCGTTAGCTTTTATTCAATTCTCCAAATCCGTAATTTTCTAACAAAAAGTGAAAATGCAATGCAAAGAAAACATGTACTCATCGCCCTCATCTGCGGGATATATGAAAAAAGTATATTTATTATAGGTTTTTGGCCAAAATGCTGCATTTGGCTAATTTAAAAAAGAGTCACGGGGATTCATCCATCCATTGCCGGGTCACGTACTGATATACTGCCGACAGTAATTTGTCGGATGGTAATGCCAGCTGGAGTGAAACCAGGACTGGTTTAAGTTTGCCTGGACAGGCCAGAATGTAGTCCTGTTTAAAACCCCCGGGAGCATTACGGCTGTGCTGTTGTGTTAGCTGAGATGGTCGAATTCAGTAGGTCGGTGTTAGGAGCTACTGCAGCGCAGTGTCTTAATGTTGTTATACTTACTGTTATCAGACCATTATCTATATAAGGCTTTAACTGACTAAATGCAAGGAATTCCGAGAAGAAAATTTTGACGCCAAGAAGCTTTCCAACGATGAGTGCGTCTTGCCAGTCAGTACCTATCACGACAGCTAGCGGCGAAAATACGTATGAGCAAATTAACTGGAAAGGTATAAAGACATTTGTATCACATCTACATTAAATCATTAATATCTTTTAACAATCCCATGTCTAAGTGTACCATAAATGAAACTATGCCTATGTCAGTTTGATATGTTATAATAAACTTTCCAAAAAAAAAAACTTTTCGGTTTTTTTAAAAAAAAAGAGTGCAATCGATCTGGACAGGATTGAATTGAATATTCACCAACTTCAACCAGCTTACCTGAAAGTTCACATCCGGGACATCCACTAGATCTCCTAGGTAACCGAGGATGGTATCCATGGCTTCCACCAATGACAGGAAGGTTATCAATCCCGCAGCCACCACTGCCGTCAACTTGATGGAGGCCAGCATACCGTTACACACTGCCTCCACCAGTGATCTCTCAGGCCTTATGACAAGAGATTGACAAAGAAAGTGTCTGTAGTTTTAGGTATCCTGTCCGGAATTTTAATCAAAAAAATCAAAAACTCCACCCCACCCCCTTCAGGAGAATATGCAATTTAATTTGGGATCGATCTTCACATTTGAAATAATTTTATGGATATGCTTTTTCTTGTACAAGCAGAGAGAGACAGAAAGAGAGAGAGAGAAAGAGAGTTAAATATTCTACGTCTCAAACTCAAACCGATGTCTCATGAGACAAGATCCCATGGCATATCATATAACATACGGTGGCGCCATCTGCACGTCCTCCTCCGTCTTGGTGTGCGAAGTCTCTGTCTCTGGGAAGCCCAACTTTGCTATTGCCATGGCTGCCGGCGCTGACATGATACTGGCTGATATGAGGTGCTCTGGGGACGCCTACAGGTGAGCGAATAGAGACATTAACACGGGGATAAATACACAATTATGAAAACAATTCTTGAAAAGGTTTCAATTTTCATATTTTTTGTATAGATTTATACAAGCGATACCTACATGTATATTGCTTGATTTATAACTGTTTCATACAGTTTATAACTTTATAACTGTTTTATAAATAAATATACTACTCTACCCACTAGAACTATTTGAAAAAGCGATTATCTGTTGATTGTATGATGCAGATATATGGAGTCAAATAGAAAGGGGTATAAGGAATATTTTGAAAGTTTACCCCAAACGCTATGAAGGCTGCGATCACAGTACCGGCAATGGTAGTGAACCCACCGGTCATACACGCACAGAGCTCGGACTGTGTCAGCCTCTGCCAGAATGGTCGGAACATCACACCAGTCTCCACCTGGTGGGCAAGACAAACACCGCGGTTATCTATTGATTTAATCATCTATATATAATGACATTTCAAAAACGTCAAAAGCAAAAGATCAGAGTGAGTACATATGTAGTGCCCCGTAACGTTGCCAAAACGGAAGTGGCAATTTTTATCACAGGTTCTATACTTATAAATGAGATTTGTTCAAGTGTAAATCTTACGTAATTTGAAAGTATTTTTTAAGTTTTTAAAATAATACTTGATCTTTATTTTAGAATTTGCCAGAAAAAATGCAAAACTTAGAGTAGGTCGCATATTGAACACTTACGATATCAGTACGATCTTTAACACTCACCTGACCAAGAAAAATACTAGCAGCAGTGTGCAGCGCCTCTATCGGTGTAATCTTCATGGTGACCTGCATCAACCACGCCATCTTGCGGACCATCCACTGGATGGCGCCATAGTAATACAAAACATTTATGACGGCACTGTAGAATATAATGATGGGCAAAATCTGGAAGACGAGAGAGGAACTAGGCCTAGTTTTTAACTTTGGAGACAATCATAAAGCAATCGTGACAACTGCTGATTAATAAAACATTTTAATAACTATAAAAAGAGTCAACTTTTTTCACTTGCGTTACCATGAATGGTACAAAAACTCTTTAAGCGCCCAGTGGTCACAATTTTTTCGTTTGAACATAAAAACACTGGCGGCGTTTTTAACGTTTCAAAGATGCATCAAAGTAAATGAAAGATGAAAAGGATCATTTTTATCTATATACATTGACGCGACCATACCAGATATCGTCAAATATTTGCCTTGGTATTATGTAAACTACGTCGATAAACTTGGTTATATCTATGAGCAAAAGATATCCTCATAAGAAAACACAAGGGTTTTTCTTTTTACTGCTGTTAGATTTTTCAGTTTGTTTCCTGCCATTGGAAACTGAAAATAAAATACGAAGAAACTTGTATGGTGACTACTTGTATGGTACGTAGTTTATAAACAACTGGGAGGGGGGCACCCTGAGCTTCAGAGCTAACTTGACACTAACCTTTTCACTGTAGCCTATCTTCAAATAATCCTGGATCCGCCCCTGTTTGAAACACTCTCGAAAGTGGAGATGGGAAATGCTGATTTACAATCGTCACAGTAATAAGAAGAAACTCAAAAGTCGGTTGACAGATCACAATTTTCAGCTGTTTTTGTTAGGAGACACCTTTCAGGGTAACTCTTCGTTCTTTCTCTCGATCTCTTCTATACAGGCATCTGATGGGCATGATACTTATGTTAACAAGCTCACCTGGAACGCCACGGGGTGCATCTTGTATCCGGGATCACCGAACACCATCTTGGAGCCAGCGTCCACAAAACCTGCGAACGTCTGGACCTGAGCACCGAGGAACTGAAACAGCGCAAACCCCGCGCTCCACCTCAGCACCATAAGCCCCATCAGAAACTGGAACGCTAGGCCCCATAGCACGGGACGCCAGCGAATCTAAAATGTTGAAGTAATAATAATAATAATAATAATAATAATAATAATAATAATTGTTATTATTATTATTATTATGTTGTCTCCTCGTCAATTTATGAAAAGATATCTAAGAGATAAAAAAAATCTTGATCACATGATCTTGTAACGTGACCATATCCCACAATGCCATGAAGGTCTCAGTTGAAAAAGTTTTACTTGAGTGGTGAGTCCAAATGAAACATGTTTGGCAACTTTGTTAAAGAGGTTTAAAGTCTATTTTCATAGCCTTATAACAGTATAAAGGATGCCTACAGGGCATCAAACTTCAGTGTTTAGAATTTTGCAGAAATGTCTCAACTAAGTTCTTTCTAGCATAAAAAAATGGCTGTAATCCTTTAAAATAAAAAAATAGCACAGGGGGTAAGTTTGACCACTTGGCTTGCAACACTTTATTCTGTAACATGTATGATCTTTCAACACTAATTCAAAATATTGAAAGAATTGAATAGAAATATCGATATATCTGATTACCACATGCACTACAGTTGTATCTATGCGCAATTGACTTAACAAAGCCAAAATTGTCTGAGCCAACAAGACCAGTCTCCCCTATAAATTATGGATTGTTTTTCTCGAAATAATCGTACTTTGTATTTTCGATACTTTTACATCTGAGAACAATTTCAGTTCATTCAAATCCACAGACAGCCGTGATAAATTTCGATATTAATAGGAACATAAAAGTGTTATCCCCTATTTCGAATCATGTTGCAATATTGATATAACTCGATCAAATATCAGGGCTTTTTTTTTTGGGGGGGGGGGGGGGGAGGGGTGTTTTGCTATAGGTGCATGTATACATCTATCCGGTGGACGCTGACTGACAAAAATGATGGATTGGGAGTAAGAAGAAGGCTAAGCTTCTAATTAACAATCGATTGTGACTGTCCCATGCACCCCCAACATCCACCCCACCCCCAGCACACGGCCCTGAATATAATAAACAATGTTAATAAACTATAATCAATCTCTTTGTCACTGGATCCTTTCATAAAAAAAATGGACAGATATCGCGCTCCAGCGTTTGCATTATTCTCTTGGCAAATAACTCAGACGATCGAATAGGTCGAAATAATAAACTAGAGGCAAAGAGGACAAGAGTATGACCTTACTGACAGACTGCGCTGTGAAAGATTTATATATGCCTTAGTACAAAAGAAGAATGAAAATAACCCATCGACCATTTCACTTCATGTTAGTGGCTTCCTCCTTTATTGGTTTAGAATTTCTCTAGACTTACTCGACTGGTCAAGGAACCGGTTTTATGAAAACCGTCAATTCACCAGTGCGCGACCTCTTGTTGCGGGGCTCTTCTGCCAAATTTCCATTTAAAATACACAGGTGGATTCCCTAACACACGTCAACGAATGACGCTGCAGCAGCAATGGATAATTAAGCTTGGCTTCGTACGAAATCAATACGCTCACATTCGCGACCATGGGTGTTAAGTATAAAATATTTGTCAATGATACATTTTAACAAAGTCTACAAAAAAAAAAAATAAAAAATAATAATAATAATAATAATAAATAATAAAAAAACGATGTAAAACAAACCGAAGGTCCGTGTAACATAGTCCACCTTTTATTGGATTCGTACAGGTAAGGGTGTAAGTGATGTAAGTGGGTCAAAATCTAGAACGGGACAAACTAATACCCCTACATTTTAGTGAAAACTACATAGTACTCAATTCAGGATGATGGTATAAATATGTTAAAAGAGTAGTTTGTCAAGTGGATTTTCAGCCTCTGCTTCTCGTTCAAGATCAGTTGATCATCTTAAACTTAAATTTTGTTTCCACTGAAAGACGCCAGGAAATGTGTTTTAAAAAAATTCACTAAGTGACCTGTTAAAACATTAACGCACGTTCATGGTTAAAAAGTGATCAGTTTTCAATGTCACCATGATTACCTAAAGTATAGTTTCTTAAATCCAAAATGATATAGCTCTCGAATCGTCAGCACTAACTTATGAAATGATACGAAACGTTACCCATGTATTACAGTCTGTTAGGATATCAAACGTTACCTTTGCGGGATACTTTGACGTCACAAACGTCAAAAGTAATAGGAGCGTCAGACCCCCAGCAGACCGGAAGTTCTCAGGATTCCGTCCCGTGTCCAAAACCAAGAACACGGTTAATCCCACCAGCAGTAGTGCATAAAAGGTCCTGTGAATATATAAGGAAAATATTTTTCTTCGTTTGTGTTATACACTCAGAATTGCTATAAATCAATCGACATGTACTGAGACAGCGACACTTATTATATATTGGGGTTTAATTCAAGTTTTTAACTGTTGCCGGAAGAATTTATTGTAGTAAATACTGTTAATAGCTGGAAAAAAACGTTTTGGTCGAATAAAATTAATTACTTTTTCATTTCACTTTTCAAATACTGTTCACTTATTTCTATATTGGAGTGCCCTGAAGTATTAAACAGACAAAGTAATGTGACAAGTATTTTCAGACAATATTTCAATGTTGGTGATTTTACTATAATGGTACCTTCAGGTCATCTTCAACGTAGATACAATTTCATTATGTTCTCTGCTATTTTCGCCTCTACTTACCAGTGCGTGTATTTCCACACCCTTTTACCACACTTGACTCCAGCCAGCAGTCGACATATGACGTCATATATGACGTCACCGTAGTGCCGCTGCAAGAACTCATAGCTGACGAAGAAGAACACTATGGCAGTGATAATTATGACCACCAGGGCCCGCTGGCCGTTCAGATAGGCAGCGTAAACTAAATACGCCACCCACAGAGCCACAAACACGCAGCGGACGGTCAGTGAAATTGTCCTTTTGTGACGCGAGTAAAACGCGTTAACAGACTGGGAAACTTTGTCGATTCCCCGTGCTACACAATTCGGTGTTTTGTCCGTCACATTTCCCTCGTTCTCGGGCTCGGCAGTGGCCTTCTCTAAACCGTTCGGTTGGCAGTTTGACAACAGTGACTGCCGGGTGCGCTTGTCTTCTACATAGACGTCTGTCACAGCTTTCTCAGTGTCACAGTCCACGTGATTCATCTGCGTTCCGTCAGGGACGCGCTCCGACCTGATTTCTTTCAGTTCCATGTCTCCGACTTTGACTGGACTCCTGTGGACAATACATACAACACGCATTCATACACTACAACACGTCACATATGGGTAGGGCGAGTGCGTGAAGTATAAGCTAACTTGACACAGAAGATGTAATGTTGATTTGATCTCAATGAACTTTGGCCCTCTGAGTAAATCATGCGGTACGTGAGGGGGAACAGCGAGGATTACATCAACAGGCTGGGAGCTGAGTGATAACAGGAAAGCCAAATGGCTTACTTAAGTGTACCGCTCGATAAGAAACAATTGCTAAGAAGTTTAGTACGTAGTTAGTAGATTTTAGAGCTATTAAGGTTAACCGGTTATTGAAAATATCATGACATAGATAATGGATACTAGTGATTGTATTACATAAGTATGTCCCCCCTTTTTCCTTAAGATTGTGGTTGATCGCGGGTAAGTCTAAAATTTAATGTGAAACCACGCTGCTACATACCTCCAGATATGAAGCTCTGCGGCAACATCTAGTGAGAAACGACTTTGTTCTTTATAACCGGTTAGGGCTCCTTGTCCGTCACCTTGCGAAGATAGGTATTTATATATATACAGGTATTATATGCCATTAACGGCATATAAATGAGCAGTGCCCAACAGCATGTTATTGTTGGTAGAAACACTTAAAACGTGCCTTAACCTGATCCAGGACATCGCTCATGCATCAATGTGAATAATGAAAATGTTATTTTCTTAAAACTCATGTGCCATAAAATGTTTCCTCATGCAAAACGTAATACTGTGGTGGAATATTCATGGTGCAATACGTCCAGCCTCCATGTATAATCGAGCCTAAATCCCATTTATATTTGTTTTTTAAGCAACTGCCCTGCGACAATTTGTCTCATTTAACGTTCACGTACGTTTCTCAGTCTATTCTAGAACATTTGGTGAATTTTTTTTTACAGTTCTTATGTTGTTCGTTAATGAACGTGGTTCGAGAACTGTTTTTGGGAAGTCCTTCAGAATGTCCTAGAACGGATTATAAGAACATTTTTCATTAAAAGTGAAAAACCTTATGTTCTAGGACAGATTGAGAACCGTAAGTTAGCGTTAAATGAGACCAATTTTCGCAGGGGTGTTGAAACTGGATGTTAAATAAACATTTCAAAATACAAAAGGTATTGAGCAACTAAGTCGTCGTTGATAAAATCTCTCTCCAAATATACCGCCTCTGTAAATCTTAACAATAAACACTCTGCACAAGGGTGTTAACATTTCTTTAGTCGTGTTATTGGTCAGCAAGCAGCCCCATCGGCGTTATTTTTATTTTCACAATGTATTATCTAACAATAGAAGATATTATATATTTATGAATGCAAATTACAGACATACGTATATAACAGAAGAATGGAATTACGAGAAGTATTTTCTAACAACATATGTTAACACTTGTTGCCTATACATGTACACGCAGTATTTCTTACATTGTCGTATTCATTGTACACTCTATCAGTTACCAACAGAGAAGGTGACGTGGTATTTGTGTGAAAATCCTCGCCGGACATGAGCGCAAAGGATGACAAATACCAACTGGATGCGACCCTTGTGTAGGGTAATGATTTTAGTGTACATTTAACGTATTTGTAAGGCACTATTAAATAGGTCTGTGCCTTCACCCCCCCCCCCCCCCTACGTCATAGACAAGCGTCCCCTGCCAAAGCAGTCAGGGCTCGAAAGGTTCGCTATGTTGCGCACGTGCGTTAGTGTCTCGATTCCATAACCGATTCTGTTTCGAGATACGGGGCCATGGAATCGAGACACTTGCGCACGTGCGCAACATAGCGAACCTTTCGAGATACGGAGCCCAGGACAGTAAAAGTCCTGTCACACTTAGCGTAAAGAGGTACGGATGAGTATCACACAACTCTGGTGTGGCAGTGACTTTAGAGCGTTAATGTGTTACACTGACTGCATTCAGCGAGAGTCCCCGCGGAGTTGGAGATCGACCTACGTAGTCCGATAGTTTCATTGGAATGTGCCCTTACACGTCTCCCTCAATACCGATGCCCTTCTTTCAGGCGGCTCTTTGTATGTTCTATTTTATACGAGTATTTGTATAAATGGCCCGGAACGTGTGCGCATTTTATAGTATGGAAATTCTCCTGTATTGACAGGTCATAGCCTCGGTAAACATCGGACTAGGCTCTATAGGGGTCATTTTATGTTCAGAAAGGACCACATCAGTCCCTTTGCTGTTGGAAAGATGGGAGAACGGACATTATTGCCTGATTTATAACTTTGAGGCTTTAATTATTACTTGTATGAAATAACGAACGCCTGGCGAATATTAAATGGATTGACACTTTATGTACTGTAAAGTGATATGATCAAAATTTTTTTTAGGGGTGATGTAAAGACCTGAAACACGCTAGTAGGCCAGGGACTGGGGCCCTATTTACATCCAGGATACCGAGTTGCCAATGTCGCCAATATACCGGTACAGACTGTATAGCTAGAGCTTACCGCTTAGTTGTCTATGACATAGTCCTATTGAGCACAGGCGGCTAAATTGATGGATTGACAAATATTGCTTTGATCGGAGAGGGTGAGGAGGTCTATCTCCGACACAAAGAAGTTTACCAGGGTTTACCCGTGCTTGCTGGGTCTGGAGGCAGTTAAAGATACGACACCACCACGTAGTTGGGTGTCGTCCCTTGTAAATGGAGAGCGGAAAAATTACAATTTAAGCAACTAAAAGCTGTCTATTATACCTGCTTAAGAACACGGACACACGTTAAGTCGCCAAGAAAGAGTGCACAACGAAGTTATTCCTCTGTGGTCGTTGGGATTTTTGCTGAACGAGATCGAAGGATCCCTATGTTGAATCCTATCAAATAGAATAGCAGGCACGTGGGATGCTTATATCACATAATGGATATAACCGGATTGTTACACTAATAATATAACTGGAGTAAGCAGGGGTGACGGCCGCAAAGGAGATAAAGTGTTGGGCGTCGAGAGCGTACCGAGTGTCTGCAAGGAGGGAATGGAGAGGACCTGGGGCTGCGGGCGGGGGCGACTGGTGGTCCTCTTTTACCTGTTCGCCCTCGGTGCCTGGTTAGCGATGATGTTCCTGCAGTTAGTTCTGCTGGATGTTCAGCTGACGCGGGGCTCGTGTGGGCAAACGGGGCGTGGGGTACTCGATCACCTGTGGGGACGCCAGGAAGAAACCCAAGACGTTAATTTAGTAAGTTAATCATGCTTAAGTTATGGAAATGAGAGAGAGAGAGAGAGAGAGAGAGAGAGAGAGAGAGAGAATGTTTTAGAGTACCTGTGTGTGTGTGTGTGTGAGGGGGAGGGGGAGGGGAACAGCAGAATAATACAATTCGCATGGAAGGGTTTTGATGCCATGGTTTTTCATAAAGCAGACACGCGCTTACATAAATATATATAAAGTTAACTCCCCTTTATTTTGTCTGAAAAAGCACTATACAACTAAGCTCCGTTTAAGCCGTGTTTATAGACGTATTACATCACACGAAGTAGGTCATTCATCGATCAGTTGTCTATAACCTCCGAATGAAAGGTAGCACCCATGTTGTTTGACGGGTCCTAGAAGACAGCTATTGAATAGCATGCTTGTTTAGTGGGCGGTTGCACAAACCAACTTTCAGCCGAAACTTTTTCTAAACTTTACTCCCCCCCCCCCAATATAAAAATAAATAAAATAGATAAGTAAATAATGGTCCGTTACCTCAGTTCAAGAAAAGAACGGCTTATTTGACTTTGATAAAGAGAGTGTTGTTCAATTATATGATTGATTCGAACTAAAGGTTGATTTATTTTCGACCAAAGTAGACTAAGGGTGCATTCCCAGAGATTTGGATCGATCCAGAGATTAAGATTTAGATCGACCTAACTCCCCGGGGGTTCACGCTAAATTGCAGTCAGCCGAGCGCGCACCATAGTTAATTACCCCCTTACAGCTTTTAGTAGGCGGGGCAGACGCTTAAGCCGGCTAAGCTGACAGTAATCTAGCGAGACTCCCCACAGGGATAGATCGATCTAAAATCTATGGGAATGGGGTCTAAAATTTTAGTCTAAAAATTTTGGCCAATTCTTGAACCAATTAAAGCTCTTCCATGAAAAGTAATCGTGCGGTAATAGTCGTCTGAATATATGTATGGACTGGAAAGTACAAGTTCACATATTTCATAACTTTTGTCTTTTTTTTCTGATTCAATCTGTCTTCATTTTAGTCGTAGTAGTGGTAGCAATTTTTTTTTGTTGTTTTTAAAAGTAGTCTTAGCTACAGTAGTAGTAGTAGTAGCAGCAGCAGGAGTAGTAGACTAACTATAAGTACAGAAATTCAATTTACTAAGGGTAAAACACCAAGGCTCTCAAATTTAGATCAACCTACTTCAAGATAAGTTTGCCAAGGTAATGTACGCCTAATTCTCCCCCATCTACCACTAGCTTGTATCAAGTGCCAGGGAATTCTGTCATGTCGAACACAGGTGAAAAACCCACTTTATTACCGAGTCTTTAGAAATGCATAATACCAACAGCGATGTTCAGTGTTTAGTTACTTTGACGGGGTTTTACAAAGGCTTAGGCATAACCTGGATGTCTCACTAACACTTCCTGGTTTTAACATCCCAGCATATGGTCCTTGGATCTTGAATAGTTTCTAGATACGTAGCTCGCGCTAGTTTCTAATGCTTTAAAACAATGAAGTAAGGCGTACGGTTAAGTTAATTAAGAAAGATTGGAGACACCCTCCGCCCTCTCCACGGCTTCCTCTACTCAAACACTATACCACTTTACTTTTGGCCTATTCTTTTCAGTCGCAGATTATATTACCTTGTCTGTTGTTACATATTTCGACTTAATGCGGTAAAGTGCGTTATAACTGAAGTCACAAGGGCCGTCCCATTTTAACTTAAAAGAAAGGAAAATAAAACAGCAAGGCTATAATGAAGCACTTGCCGTACACCGTTTCTGAATTTAAAGTCACCCAGTTATTTTTTATATTAGAATTTAAAACGTTGATTATAACAACATAATTAAGAACAGCCTCACTAGAAGGGTCTCTATAATTATTCCTTATACATATGCATGTGCAAGCCTGGGACCCATCAAACTAAAACTAAGTACATTTGAAGTCACCATTAAAAACCGTAAGCTGTTTACAGTTGTCATTCTCGTCAAACAAAGAAGTGTGTCGCCATGTCTGACTTCCTTAGCGCGTGTTTGGCAGCTAAAAGATATCAAGAACAAGGCGGTTACCCCCACCCCCATCCCCACTCTCACCCCAATCCCCCACCATACCAAGATATTCTCCTCCACACATGGATGCATTAGGTTACAGCTAATTATAACTAAAATATAATCCGCATTGTTGACAGAATAACACTACGAGTGACCTGGTTAATGTATACCGCGTTCTGTTGACAAGAACAGGTTTGTTTAGACTGTTAGTTTTAGGTGGCATCCAGGTGTGAGAGGGAACACAAAGGCGGGGGAAAGACGAGATCAGGCACTTATAGTTTTTTTGGTTATTTACAACTCTATTCACCAGCAATGACTTCAAGTGACGTGAGAAAAAAGAAAGGCGTGCGCATGTGTGTGTGTGTCTTTAAGATCCAGAGAGCGAGCGAGCGAGCGAGCGAGAGAGAGAGAGAGAGAGAGATCAAACTTAATGCTAATACCAACACAGATAGAAAATAAAATATAATTAAATCATGAAAGATTGACGTCAATTGTGGAGCATGCATAAGGTACAGAAGCTGTTAACAAAGTACTGGACGTCCGCAAAATTGAACCTCGGGGGTCTGAAATATAAGATCTGTTATATCTAATGACCGTCCCATTGATATTACTTCCCCGTTTAAACTGACATGCCTATTGTGTGTATCAAAGAGTACGGAAAGCTCTTCGTGCATTGAAGTTTTAGTGAGGTACAAAAGTCTGTTCACATCGTTACTAAAGTCCTTTTCATGTTGACCGGTACGTGTAACTGGACCGATCCAATTATATTGGTTGACCACTTTAAAGTTTTCTTAAAATAGCCTGATTCTTACGTAAGAGAGTCACCTAAATAAGACAGCAATCTTAGTTATATAAATGCATTCGAACCATTAACAATTTCCCTTTTTCAGGTATCAATCCGACTAAATCTTATGGAATTGAGACGTCTCTTGACACACCCTTGCCCAGGGATACAGTTTCATTGGATGAGGTTAAGAATTACCCGGATGTGGCAACAATGGCGTCGCGGTGTAGAAGAAATGTTACAGGAAGGGAAGATTTCGATTAGTCGGCGAAAGAAAAATGTAAGAGATGTAGCTGAATGAGAAAAACAATCAGAGAGAGCAGACCGACGCCAAGAACCTTCACTGATGAATTGTGGTAGTTGAGTGGACACCGATTGCAAAATCATGGTCATTGGTCCCATTCCTTAATGGTGAAGAAGCCTTTTAAAATTCATGGACCCAAATGGTGGTCTGACTCACAGATCACCACCAAAATTTAATGATTTTAAGTTAAATGATTTTTGGCCTTTCCTGAAAATTTCATCCATTTGAATTAAGTTGGCAACAAATTAATAAACAAACAAACAGACAGAAAAACGGAGGCCAAAACTGAACATTCTTGGCGTCGGTAAAAATCATCTTCTTACCCAGTAGGCGTGTACAATTATTTGGATAGGCTCATAGAAATTGAATGCAGAGACAACTTTAATTCCAAATTAATGTAAAGACGGGAATTTATTTTCCTTTTTATTTTTGCAGATTTTGCTTCACTTCGGTACCTTGGCGCAAGGAAACAGACTGGACGAAACAGCTTTTAAGGGTAGGGAGTTGCTCGTCTGCTTAAAAGCAATTACGCGTTTTAATTATATGTCCAAACTAGAAAAGCACTCCCAGAGCGCAGACCTCCGCCAAGGCAGCGATTTATTATTATTATTATTGATTATTGATTGATAATTGATCCGGATCACCACCAAAAACTAATCATCTCTTCCTTGGCCCACTTTTGACAGTTCCTGAAAATTTAATTAAAATCAGTCCATAACTTGTTGAGTTATGCTGATGACAAACAAACAAACAAACAAACAAACAGACAAACAGGGGTGAAAACATAACCTCCTTGGCGGAGGTACATGTAATTACAAAATGAGTATCATGCCGTTTTTTACCGCTGTCATCTTTATCGTAGGAGGGGAGGGGGAGGCAGCCGTAATTAACAGTGAACAACCTACAGTAAGGTGCATTTAAAAACATTTCTTGTTATAATTCATGTCAAGAATCTTTACTAAAGTTTTCTATAATGACCCAAGGTGGCCCTCTTGGAGAGCTGGTACAGTGGAGCGACCTGGTGGCCACTTTGTACATCTTGGGGCATGACGTCACCATCACCACGGAAATAAACCAACTTGGAAAGTAGGTCATAAAATAATATTCTATTTTTTAACTGGCAAATAATGAGTATTTGACTACTTTACCGTAATATAGACCAATACTTTTATTTTTTGATCTAGGGCTACTAACCTGTAATGAATATAATGTCATAAGGTGTTGAACCCGCTAATTTAAGGCATTGAAAAATATGTTTCTAACATCATGGCAATGGTTACAATAAAATAATAGGGTGTGGTTTTGTGAGGAATTAAAGTATAGAGAAAAACTAATGGCGAGCACCTCCATAATTATTACATGCAGCGGGACAAAAGGTAGATTAGATTTTCCCAATAGCGAGCTAAACGTGAATAAAATGACTTCAGGGATGGGCCGTGATAAGTGAGCTCGACCCATCGTCAATGGAAATACGCTTTTTAATCCATGCAGCACTGTTCCAGACTTATGGCGGATAATTGGCAGCGTCCAGTTCAGGCCAGTCTGGGCCGCGGGCCACTGCCCTATGATCTGATCTTCACCGATATACACGGGTACAAACAGTTCAGAAATACCCTGGCAGAAGCGGTTTTTACGAAGTCCAGGTACATGACCTCTAAAATAAAACATAATAATAATAATAATAATAATAATAATAATAATAATACCAACAACCATCCCCAGGTCCAAACATTTTATGCTTGTACGGATATATTACTCATCTAGTCTGATATACAGGTATATCTATATCGATTAATTACTAGATAAATTAATAGTTAAACACTATTATCGATAACCAGACTGATTGACTGACATTAATTCACAATTTGATGGCATTGATAACTTATGTTTCTATAACACAATCAATTTATAAAAAAGAACTGAAAATCTATAGTTATTCACAATAAATGGTTTTGTACAGTGTAAATTCATTAAGTGTGTATGTATAACCGTAATGTAATCCCATTTTCCTGACTTTTACTAATATTATATGTAAACCAAACATGAACAGGTGCCTGTTTCGTATACTCGACTCCTTTGGAACCGAGGCAGAGTTCAACTACAGGCCATACGCCACCGGTTACCATGGCAACAACCGTTCCAATACTTGCGAGTGGGGATGTCTTCATCTGCGACTTCAGCAGTTCTACACAATGTTTCGTAAGTATAGGTTCACGCTTTCATGCTTTGCATGCTCCCTAGGTCCCAGTTGTTTAAAACGGCAAAATCATTTAAAAATCCATTTCTTTCTAGCCTGTCCTTCAGCTGTAGGTTACAGATGTATCTCGAAAAACAGGTTTACCTGCAGCTGGAACAAAATCGGGGTAATATTTCGTTCAGCCTTGTTGAAAACTATTCGCCACGAAGGTATTTTCAATGAACTGATTACAGACGACTAATGAGACATTGAGAAATATTTCTGACATCATATTAAGGGCTGTGACGTCACAATTTCATTTACGTGCGTTTGTACTTTTTTGTTTTTATATTTTTACATTCCCTATTATTTCTTATCTGATATTGCACTTGGTCAAATTTAAACTAGAAAAAGTATTCTGCCAGATTTCCTTCATATTCTTCAATAACAAACCTCCATTTTTCTTGAATTAAACTTCAAATTTTACCTTTTTTCTAGCCCACACTCCGGACAACTCTTTCCTTGGATTTGTAATAGAGCGGCATAATGCTCGCGATGGGGTCAAGCAAACAATACGGATACAGAACCAGTCGTTAGTGTACGCGAAGAGAGAGTACATGTGGGAGGTAAAACGTCAGACTCGGTAGTTTAAAAACCGCCAACATGGTGGTTTCAGAACGAGGCTTAGGACACGTGTTTGCGATATCGCCAATGGTAAAGCAGGAGCGAGTAGCTTATTCCCTCATTCAAATGTCTGTTTATAAGAATCAATTTTAGTTAACAAAGTAGCCACTGAATTACAATGTTTCAGTTTACCATTGGTACACACAGTATTGTACGTGTTAGGTATGTTTTGGTTTAAGGGAAAACAAGCCTTCATCGATGTTATCCGAGAATTCTTTGATGTCCACGCCACATCAGAACTTCAAGCGCCACGTCATATGACGCAGTCCCCTATCCCGGAATATGTCCACAACCACTACGTCCTTCTTGGGGACAGCTACCAAGCCCTGCTACAACAGTCGAAGGTGCCTTCATATTTTGTGTTTTAGTGCCATGATTTGACAAAAAACATGATATTGATGATTAATTAACGTTTAACCAGGGTACGTGTATACAGAAGAACTGTGGGTAAATTTTGCCAGAGATTAAGGGTTTATTCCCAGTGAAATTATCGTTATACGTAGATCGATCCAATCTCGCGGGAATGTCGCTGCATGCAGTCAGATTAACAGATTAACACGTCTTCTCCTTGCGTTGAACAGAATACAAAAAAAGCTGGAGATTATACAAATGCGATGAAAACAAGAGAAGGCGTGTTAGTCTGATTACCTGTTACCATTCAGCGGAGTAGATATATCTAGAACGATAGTTTCACTGGGACTGAGCCCTAAGAATTATACTGCAAATGTGTGAAGCATCTCGTACAATTTCTTTTTAATGCCAAGATATTTGTGGGTCTGGGGTTCCCGTACGAAGGACCTGCTCCTCTCGAGGCCATCGCCATGGGGACCGTCTTCATAAACCCACGATTTCACCCGCCTCACAGCCGCTCTAACACGGCTTTCTTTGCAGAGAAACCGACAAACAGAGAGGTACATGTATAGAAAAGGTTTTAATCCATTTAGTGTATTACAAAGTATATGCATTTTATTTTCCTCTTTTTTTTATACCCCTTCATACCATCATTGTTTAGAGTATATGGCCACGTTATGTTTTTCAAACATGAGGGATAAAATGGGGGTCGGGGTTAATGAATGTTTGTCTACATTGCACTATCAATATTTATATCTTTTTTTTTTCTAATTGTATCTCTTAGCCCTGCTATCTTCCTGTTAAACTCTCCTTACTGCTTAGCTCTTTGGTTAATAATTTGATAATCTCAAGTGAGATTACTTTTTCTTTAAGAAAAACATCGTGTTGACGTATTAATTATGTAAACTGGTATCGGTCTGTGTGTCTATATCTACATGTCTGCCCCCAGGTGACCAGCCAGCATCCGTATGCCGAGGACATAGGCGACCCTCACGTGTACACCGTGGACATTAACAACCATACTCAGCTGCGAGCCACGCTCCTCAGGGTGCTAACTAGGCAACAAGAGGTAATTAAGTAGTGTGTTTGTGTCTGTGTGTCTGTGTGTGTGAGTGCGTATGTGTGCATGTGATTCGGTGTTTTGTACCAGCTCCAATCAAATTTTAATTTCTAATCTCATTTACACCTCATTATCTACTGGGCGTATTTTAAAAAAAGAAATATCGACTCAAGATGCTTCGATTGATTTTATCATTTTAAAGTCCGGGGAAGTCAAGTTGCTTTAAAGGCTATAAAGATATAAAGATATGCGACATTTTCGAACGCATATAGCAAGTATACACATGCATCTTGAACTTGATGAAATGTTTGTTGACAACCGTAGCCTATTGTTGGTGGAACAATAGCACCGCCATTACGCGAATGTTAGGGTAATTCACCAGATATTATGTTTTCAGGTGCCTCCTTTTCTTCCTTTCGAGTTTACCGTTGCCGGGATGTTGGAGAGGATGAATTATTATATAGAGAATCAAGATTTCTGTTCCAACCCCATCAGAAGTCACGTGCCAAGAAATGCCGTCCAAGGTTTTGTCGGTGCCGAGGGAAAGTCGTGCAATGATGTTTGCCGGAGTAACGGTGTGTAGTTTTTTTCCCGGTGCTTTGCAGCTTGGCACAATCATTGTGTCCCAACTATCGCATTCAGACGAAACTGCTATGAAATATGTTAATAATTCTTCCTTGTGGAATAAATTATTTTAAAATACTTTGTGGCAGTATCATATAGATAGATTGATAAACAGATAAATACAGCTAGGATACATTAATCAATCGAGAGAGAGAGAGAGGTATCCTGTCCAGCCATATCAGAGCTATCGCACAACATTTCAAAGCCATTTTATTTCATTGCAGGCCGTTTTTGCGAAAACACGAGGTTCAACAGCGTCAACAACATGGACTTTTTACGGGCAAGAAATGTGACTTGCAGTACAGTTGTATCAGAGGCTGGGTTGGTTTACCCGTCTTTCGTTAGGCAAGGTGCAAGAAAGGATTGTTTCTTTCAACAGAATGATTTTCTGTTCAACTGCGCCAGTAAACTGGAGAAGCACAATCGATTGTGCGCTTGCAGAACGTTTAAAAAGGAACAAGTAGCTCTTTGCCATGAATGCTGACGAAGCATTTTTTGTTTTATTGTCAAACTAATGTACGTATTTTTGCAAGTGATTGTTCATAATTCATTAAATTGCCTTTTTTTTTTAACATCTTTTATTCTCAAGAGGGTTAAATATTGATACAGTATAAATAAAGGTGGCAATTCGCCTAGGCATTATATGCTTACCTTAACATTAAATTGCCTTTACAAGTATGCACGGACGAAGACAGGGAAGATTTTGAAAATGACATTTGAAACGCAAAGGGGATCTCAGTGTTCGGTTTGACAGTGCCAAAGAACAGGGAGGAACTTAATTTTACAAAGCCCTCGAGTTCATGATACGAATAATAAAATAGTTCACTCGTCAAGAGCAGGTAAAATGGAATTTTCTTATTTCCCTTTTTCCATTGTGGTTATTTTAATTTTTGCTTGATGAACTTCTTCAATCGAAATCCTGACTACATGATACTGCATGACTTTACTTAAAACTAATGCATCCATTTCAAAGCAAACTCCATGTGCTACAGAGTGGTATCCACATGGCGGTGAACCCCTGTTTCCTCCCAAATTATATATTATATACGTGGGCCTGTTCTCTGGTGAAGGTGCAGAAAAACACTATGTGAGTGCGAAGGAATTTAAAGCTGTTTTAAAGAGAGAAAAAAAGGTCAATTTATAACTCAGTATGCAATGGAGGGCTACAAACATCAACGACATTTACTAAATCTAGAGACAGACACACCTATCATCGAATTCCTACAGGTATTTATAAATTGCTAGTATGCATGTAGTTTCCTTTGAACATGACGTGTTGATGTAGCCAATCCATCAGCCCAAATTTTTTTCATTGACTGATGACAAGGGACAAAATCATCTGTTCAATTTGCAAACGTATCACGTAAGCCCGAATAGCTGTGTGAAATGGCACATGACAAAGATATCACTCATCTTTTAGATCTATATTAGCGATATTAAATAAAACATGGACCTGAGACAGAAATACACGAGGAATCAATTTGATAAATAATATTAATTGACTATATAATGGAAATTTTATTGATTGTGATGCCTCACCTGAGAGGGAACAGGCTTGATCAGTTGCTCGAATGATGAAAATGTGTGTGGTCAAAAATACATAAACGCATATTTTGTAATTGATTATTGGCACTGAAAGTGCAGACATATGTTACGATGATATAGTAATTGGAATTTGATTAAGTTAGTTTTAATATTCAAGCAACAGTTGATTTTTTATCCTGCTATTTTCTGTAGTCCCTGCACTCTTAGCAGATCATCATCCGGGGCAACAACGGATTGAGCGTTTTTTTTATTTGTCTGCCATCGGCAGCTGCTGTGAGAACGAGGTGTGTGAATATAGGATGGTCGTCCTAAGACTGCTTTTTGTCGGAGTTACCGTAATATTTCTGGGTAAGTTTGACAGACACAAAAATCACTAGGCAAAAGTGGTGTTTTATCATTGATTTTTTATATACAGCTGAGAAGTATGCGTTTAAGGAATTATTCCTCCGTGTGGTATAGATATTTGTTTCTGAATTTAAAATTGTTCTATAATGTCCTTTCAATCCGATTTAGGAAAAAAAGGATATTTAATATATATTGCAATATTCGGTTTACACTTACAAATAATAATAATAATATTAATAATAATAATAATTGATGCTGTTGATATCTTTCCCCGGCAGATGGGACACTATGCAGAGGTTGCACGCAGAATCTGGCTAAAGGCAAACCCGCCTACCAAAGTTCCACCTTCCAAAATGAGTACGGTGTGTACAATGCCAGTCGTGCTGTGGACGGTAACTATGACGACGACAATCGCAATGGGAGTTGTGCCCATACTGGTTCTGGTCAGGGTCAATGGTGGCTAGTGGACTTAGAAACCACGGCGAGTGTGGCCGGTGTCATAATATCAAACCGTGGCGACGGATATTGTACGTTGGGTTCTGTGTATTGTATCCATTATCAATTTATTCAACGCATTTTATTACTGTACATGTAAACCGCACTTCTTGTTGCTGTTTAAACATGTAAAACATTAAAATGTAAAACAGATAGGTACATGTATGATCCACTTAAGAAAATGGATGTGAAAAGTGGACAACAGAACGTGAAGCTACAAGTAACTATTTTCTAAAATGATAAGAAATATTTCATTCATCCCTGTATCTACCTAACACGTACTGGTACGGACTTAAATGATCTATTGTTAAATTTGCCGTTACATATCACGTCAAAGTATGATGAAAGTCAAAATTTTAAAACAATTTGATAATTTTCTATTTTCAGCTTACCGTTTGAATAATTTCGAAGTGAGAGTTGGAACCTCTTACGAGGATAGTTCATCATTCACCCAGTACAAACTCTGCGCCAGTTACCCGGGGGTGGCACCTGTGGGGAACACGTCTCTGTCCTGTGGTTCACCACTGAGAGGACGATATGTCTTGATCATTAAAGTTGGCAGTGACATCCATAACTTGCAGCTATGTGAAGTGGAGGTTCATGGTGAGTTGATGGAATTCCATTTTGCGCAAGTATGTATATTAATATGAGTTTTAATAGGTGTGCCTAAAATTACGTGTATCTATTAACATTTTCTGATTAATTCAACGTTGAAACCGGTGAGTCACCCACTGACACGTCCTTGTTATGGGTTTTGTAGTTCCCATGGTTTACTTATGTTTTTGTATAGGTATTACAAGTACAACTACGTTCAAACGGGTAGCAGCAGATGCGCGCGCAACCCTTGTGCCCATATCCACGCTGAATGTCCCCAGCCTCATCGAATGCAGCACCTCCTGTATGCAACACTGGAAGTGTGCGGCCATAAACGTTCTTTGTGCCGGAAATGACCAATGTGTCTGTGAACTTCTGCCCAGTACTGCCCAGACCAGCGACTTGCAGGCAGACACTGGTTCTGAATATTATGAGGACATCTGCTTGGGACAAGTGTAGGACGAGACTAATAAATGTGGCTAAATCACTTTCAGAAATACCCCAGGGAAGCATTCATGACTATGTAACACATGCCATTTAAGTATCTCTTATCGTTGTGAAACATTAAAACGATATTGCTGAATATACAGACTTGACATTTAATATGAAATATTTTTTCCAAATCATTTTTCATCAGTTTTTTTCCTATTTTGCTGATTGATAAATGGAAATAGGGATTAAAATCGTGTTTTAATATCTTTTAATTATCTTTTTGATGTCATTATGACATCAGTTCATTAATTGAATTCGCCAGTGAAGCAAACAAAAATACATTGCCTATTCTATGGCGTACGACGACCATTAAATGAGATATTTTGGATCTCCATATTTTCCAAATTATCGTCTGTAAAAGAGTTATACGCTCCACAAAAGACCCTCATGTCAGTTGCTAGTCACATCAACGATCGCTGTTACGCCTGACTTCTTCTGGCTGCTACCAGCGCTCTTAAGCGGCAAGGCATTCCTTGGGATAGGTTTATAGAGTTCAATCTGGAATAACATTCCAGGCATCGGTCAAAACTTGTCCACTTTGGTCCGGTTTTGTTGTAGGACATGTAAGCCGTTGATTTGGCGGGTAATGACCTACCCACATATTGTCTATGCGGTTCAAATATAGCAATTTTGATGACCAAGGAAGCTGCTCATTCCCTTGGTTATGTAAGTTATATGCTATTAAAAGCCAACTGTGTGAACCGGCAATCTCACTGTGCAACCTAAAATTGTTCCTAAGGTGCCCCCTATCAAATGATAGTCCAGTGGTTCCCAGATTATTCCTTTATTTGATCTGGTTCAGGTTTTCGTCGATGGCTACCATTGGAGTTTTGGCACCAATGTGGAATCCACACCAAATACTGACGCTGTCAATGACCCTAGTCACTTTGGGCGCGGCACACGCTTCGTTGTAGGCCTCTTCTGGATGTCTGTTAACTCTGTTCTGATTAGTTGAGCGGTGCAGGTGAAATCTGACCTTAATAAAGAAAGCCACGAGGTTTCGGTGTTCTACCCAGAAACGGTCATGGTCGCCAATTCATTGGAGAAACAGACGACGATGTTTTGCTGTTTACAGTGGGTTCCTCGGAGGTCGTCTGGTATTCTAACCTGCTAAAACAAGTTTGGTGTTCGTTAAGGGCCTTGAAAAACGCTTTTTGGTGGCAATTTACTTGCTTAATTGCTTTCTCGATTTCATTAATTGACGACAGTAGGCCTAATTGCAGTAAACAAGGAAGAGGAAATGCTGAAGACAAAACAACGTCGGGTCTTTGTGTGACTTTCTCCCTAAACACTTTTTATGTTGCTGTCAAAGAAAAAGGAGCCGAGATAGCGATCATTCAAACCACTGCTGCTGCTTTTGCAGGTAGACTTCCTCGTTTATCATTTAAATGCTCCCCTCCCCCAGCAGACCCAACTTGAGGAATGTCATAGTAGCTATAGTACACTGTATATCAGATCTTGGTTCAAGTCATGAAAGGTTTAAGCACAAAACGATATTTTGGGGGTATTTTTTCATTCAAGATAAAATTAAGTATCTATGGTATAGATGTGACAATAGGGACTTTACAAAGCTTAATTTGTCCTTAAATATACATTCCAGTAGCATATGGATTTAGGCGAGCGACGTAATTGTAACCTCAACCTGAGGTATCCCCGATGAAAGCACCAGGATGAACACTGAAAAGCGGAGTACAAAAATTAACTATTTAAATATCGATTACAACATGCTGTACAATGATAATGAGTCCTAAAAGGGTTAATGGACTTCTTTGTCTTAAAAGCAATTCATTTCGAAATTAAAAGAAACAGTTTTTTTTTTCGGGGAGCGGGGGTAGACAGTTTACGTCAGGTGATTTGTAAAAGCCGAGGAGTGTTTCACTATCAAATGTGTAAATCATATGTCATAAAAACACTGTAAGAAAGTTTTTTGTTACAATCTGCAACATTTGTTCATTTATATAGCAGGGCGAAGTTAACGCCAGAGGTAAATAGTAACTAATACCGTAATCCTCTTCATCCATTTATTTAAATTGTATCATAGAAGTATCAAAACGTTTGATACAAATGTTCATTAATGTCATAATTTTGGCGATTTATTGAAACCATATTTGTACAGAGTAGGTTAGCATAAGTTAAGCAACAACCAGTATGAAGAACAACACCCTTTTTAAATGAGGCAAGACACCCTCTTCACACTGATTATAACCTTATTTCAACCTTGTGCATTCACCGATAAATCTCCCTTTTTCGAACCCTGTTTGTGTGCTACTTATTAGCTTATTGAGATATCGTTTCATTCTATTAGCAATGCAGGCCGAAATTATCTTATAGTCAACATTAAGTAAACAAATTGGCCTCCAGTTCTTTAGTAGTAGCTTTTTATCCTTTCCAGATTTAGGTAAACAAGTAATCACGCCTTGTCTTTGACTCGTAGACATGCGTTGTTTACTGTATGAGTAATTGAAGGAAGCACTATATAAACCTTTAGTTCCTCCCAAAAAAAATTTATAGAACTCGGTAGTAGGCCGATATCCGTCAATTCCGGGCGATCGCCCGTTTTTCATCTTTTTTAGTGCATTGAGACACTCAGAGTGAAATATGGGTGATTCTATTGCGTTGCGCTCTTCTTCATTTAGTTTTTGAATGAATGGGTTATCATCTCTCATGAACATATTGCGGTGTGTATTATTTATTTGTGGCTTTTTGGAGGAGTACAAGTTTTCATAATAGTTCTTCTGTTCTGTGATGATTTCTTTAAGACAAATAGTTTCTGTTCCATCTTCTCTTACTATTTTCGCAATGGCTTTCTCAGTAAAGTTTCTTTTTTCCAGATTACAGAAATAATTAGTAGGCCTACTGTTTTCTCCCTCAACTTTCCACTTTGATTTAGTTCTGATAATAATACCTTTTACTCTTTGTTCTCTTATATCTTTCAGTTCCATTTCTGTTGCTTGGATTTGCTCTTTTACCAAGTCATACTGGTGTTGTTCGTATAGGGTTTTAAGCTTATTTTCTAATATCTTTTCTTCTGTATTTCGTTTTTTGTTTTTTCTTAGATGCATATTTAATTGTTTCACCTCTTTTTCACTTCCCAAAAAAGTTCGTCGTTTATACTAAGTTCCATATTTTCGGTATTTTCTGTGTTCTCTACTCTATATTGATCAACTACTTCCCTTATGCAACCATGTAGGCCTACTACTTTTACATATTCTTCGTCGCCGAGAAGACTATTATTAAACTTCCAGGTACCTGGCCCTCTGGTTTGGTTAATGAATTGTAGTTTTATATTCACAGGGGAATGATCTGATCTGTAGGCAATATCTATATCCGCACCCTCAGATTATTTTGTAGGTCTGAGGAAATCAGAATGTAATCAAGTCTACTCCGTTTATTATTTGGCCCGTACCAGGTATATCTTCTGACTGTCGGATGCAGTTCTCTACATGTATCAACCAGATCGAAGGCATACATGAGTGTTTTAATCTCGTTATTTGCTTTTACGTTATTTCTTTTAATGTAGTTGAACGTATCTTTGTCATAATCGATCGGGACATTCCAGTCACCTGCGATTATAACGGAGGTGTTCCCTATAACTTCCAGATGATTTTTAATGTCGTGGAAAAATGAAGGGGTATCGTTATTGGGCCCATAAAGGACAGTCAGTGAGGCTCGAGTGCCTTGGATAACGCAGTCTATTATTAAGTAATTTCCGTTCGTGTCCTTTATTTCATTATTAATTTTTAGTTCAAATGAGTGTTTGAATAAAATCTCCACTCCTCTGCTACTTGATGTATAAGAGCAAAATCTAGCATTTCCTCCCCATTCATTTTTCCACATACCTTCCTGGTTTTTATTACAATGGGTATCTACTAATAAGGTAATATGGTATTTTTCCCTGCATTTAATAAATATGTCCCTTCTCTTTATCGGATCTGATGATAAACCCCTGCAATTTAAACTACCGATCTTTTATCACTTTTATAGACAAGTATCAAAAACTACTTTAAGGGAGAAGAGGTAGTGTCAACATACATGAAGGGGATATAACGACAGCTTAAATAGAAGTGTACGTCGTCTCTCCATAAACTACTATATATATATATATATATATATTTGTGTGTTTCTTGCTTTCTACTAATAATTACATATGTATCTTTTTTTGCGCCTTCATGCACATACATACTCGCACACGTACTATCATTCACACCTAGAAATATAGCATGATATAACATAAACGGTCACAATGAATGCTTTTGTTGAGATAAGGTCAACAGTTGCTGTTTTCTTCACCATTTGCAACTAGTATAGAATAGAGATGTGTGGAGATGATTATTTTTCATTCACCTATGACTGGTTTCTGCACTCAGCAGAGCCTTACACAGGTTGCGTAACGGGCAGTTAGCACATCGTCGCGAAGCGAAGCTCCTGCAGAGCGAGTATAAAGCCTTCTGCGCGCGGGCAGAGATAATTATTCCCACATGGGATTTCTCAACAGAGTGACTACAGACCAAAATGACCGTCTATCTATCTAGAGACATATCTGTGAATATCTGTAAAAAATCTGTCTGTCGCCCTGGTAGAGGGTAGGGGATTGCCAGGTTACTCGTGACAGCCATTACCAAAATGGCTTATCCGCGCCAGAAGGCGATCTTGAAGAGAGTTGACAGTCATCCTGTCATGGTGATTCTTATGATGTTACAGGTACATGTTAGGCCTAGTTAGCCCATTATGAGTAGGCCCTACCCTAACAGCCACGCATGCAAAACGATTCATAGTTGTCATTTCTAAACGCAGTTTGATTTTTTCCTTCCTTTCTCTAAATTTTCTTTACATTTTTGACGGCGTTCGCATATTTAGAAGTGGCTTACTCATAGGCCTACCCAGCCGTACATCTAGGTTTTAAATTATGTAATTTCTTTTCAGGGTATAGGCGATGGTTCCAAGGGTCTCGGAAACGCTATGCTGTTTTGTTTCTTCACAAAGTCCGTTAGAACAAGATTATGGAACGGAATAAAAAGAGGAATTTCGCTCCAAACTGTCTTATAAGTCTTGTTTTAAAGCTTTGGTCTTTAAGTTAATAATTTTTAGTTACTTTTAAATACCTTATGATTTTATTTATGATACAATATAAAACATCAACCTTTGGGTTGCGATTTTAGCAAATAAATTATTATTATTATTATTATTATTATTATTTAAAAAATGGCGGCGTAAGCGTCGAGAAAAATCAACATGGTCAGATCATGGAAGCATCTTGGCAGACGACCGCCAACCCGTCCCGGTGTGATAACACATGGTGGCATACTTACTGCACTGGTGGATGTGGTGTGAACGGTGGCTCAGTTTCTTCTCTTACAAATTCAAGAGCGACTGACATTGACACAAGCCTTCTTTGTGACTGAAAAGTAAACTGCCTGTCACAAAACTGCTCTTTAAATGGGAAATATTGTCCATTATCGTTGACAAGGAGGGAAATTTCATAAACATTTATTTTATTTAAACAAAGAAAGATAAAGAAATTCTATGAAATCATGCAATACAGTGGAACTTCATGTATCAAAATCCGAATTTTCCTGAAAGTTAGCAGTTATATTCTTATCGCCAAGGTATATCCTTTCAAAGCCCGGTGAGAAAATTATGATATTTCAACCCGTTTTCGAGTTTTAAATTTCTCATTTTTACATTCACACAGACTCTCTGTTTTGGGGGGTTGGACTAGATTAAATGAATACCGAGTGTCCTCCACTCTCGTACACATTCAGCTATAAGACGACAAATAAAAGTGAACTTGATCGTAATCAGGGGTCAGTCGAGAAAACCCTAGTCAGGCTTTTTTTCCCTTTTCACTATGCCAACCTTTATTAGACCACATAAAACGTTTTTTTTACTCCTACTTTACCCTCTACCAGGGCGACAGATTGCCAGCCTGGTAGAAGATGCTACTACTTCACGTTATGCGGCATACTGTACGTGTTTGAAAATTTTCCAACGACCCTTTGTCTACATACTGTATCTTACAAAGCTAAATATCTTTTCCAATTCAGACCTTAAAAACTATTCCAAAAAACTCAAATAAAAGTACCCTACGTGGACGTGTTTTAAAATATTGGTCAGTCATTAAGAACTAAATCATTAAATGAACAATGGAATAAAACATTGAATCCAAGTGCAAGGGCGGATCGAGCTATGATTCGTCAGTAAGAATTGCTTTTTCCCTGATCTCGAGGAAAAATGCAATTCGGAGGGTTAAACCCGTATAGAGTAATGGACTAGATGTGTTGAGAGCTGAATATTGCATCAAACTTTGTGCGAAAGGCAGTGGTCAATTCATGCAAACGACAAATAACTAGTTACTGCATGGGCACGGAAGACGTTTCCGCTAAAATATAATGTTGCCAGCAAAACATATTCAGAATAAATAACATCTTAAACCACTATTTCTTTCAGGTTTTGGCAGTACTTTTAGTTACCTAAGTCTACCTCTACCTCTCCTCCTCCTCCTGTCCTCCCGCCTCCCTCTCCTCCTCCTCCCTTCTTCTTTCCCTTGTTGTATAAAAATGGTCAGAAAAAATACTGCAATGTTTAGTTCTGAATAGGAAAAAAGCTGAGGAATTTTGACTTGGAAGAGAAAATAATCATATTTTTTAAAGACGAAGAGTAGCAATGTTTTACTTTGAATTAAAAAATGTTGTGAAGTGATGGTTATGGCTACAAAAAGCCCCGCTCTAAACAGACTGTTTATGTACACAAGCAAATTAGTAATGCCTTCAGGGCTTTTAATAGCATATAACTTACAGAACCAAGGGAATGAGCAGCTACCTTGGTCATCAAAATTGCCATATTTGAACCACATAGAGAATATGTGGGTAGGCCACTTTTCGCCGAATGAATGGCCTACATGTCCTGCAACAAAACTGGACCAAATTGGACAGATTTTGACCGATGCCTGGAATGATATTCTAGATTGAACTCTAAAAACTTATCCCAAGGAATGCCTTGCCACTTCAGAGCGCTGGTAGCAGCCAGAAGAGGTCAGGCGTACGTAACAGCGACTGTTACTGTGACTAGACTTTGTGGAGCGTGTAACTCTTTTACAGACAATAATTTGGAAAATATTGAGATCCCAAATATCTTTTTTAATGGTTGTCGAATGACATACGGTAGAATAGGCAGTGTGTTTTTGTTTGCTTCTCTGGCGAATTCAATTAATGAACTGATGACACAGTGACATCAAAGAGATAATCAAAAACACGATTTTAATTCTTATTTTTATTTATCAGTCAGCAAAATAGGGAAAACTGATCAAAATAATTTGGAAAAATATTAAATGTCAAGTCTGTAGTTTGCAATGTGTGCACTTAATGTATTTAAGAACATGCCTGTGGCCTCATTTACTTCTCTGTATTAGGTTTGGGTGTATAGCCGGGGCTCATGGGGCGCGCCGCTCGAGGCTGCACCACGACCACACCCAAAGTAAAAGATTTAAAGAAAATAAGGGGCAGTGAATAAAAAGGTGGCCGTAAGCCGAATCATCCGACTTTTTTACCTAAGGCAGGGGTGATTTTTAAACGAAATGTTTAATGCCATTAATATCCATACCCGAAAAACAGTGTTTACGTATCATAGGGGCGAAGATGGTCAGAATTTTTTAAGTTTACATTGGTGGGCATCTTATTTTCTTTCTGTCGGTAGACGGTAAAAAAAGATGGAGTAATTGGAAGACTTTTAGAAAATATCTCAGGATCCGCCCCCGTATCAATACGTGTTCCCCAGGCATCCCCCACCGAAATACATTCTCGACTGCCTTTCTCAATCGTAAGACTAAATTCGTAATTTCGTGGTTTCTTCTTAACCCCTGACGCTATTTCAAAGGGAATATTTATATCCGTAGAATTGTCATGCTATAACTGCGAGCCCATCTCCCCATTTAGTATTCAAAAACGAATAAAAAGAAAAATAAGTGTCTGCAAAACTTCGATTGTTTCTTAACATTTCACGTTCCAAATACAAAAATGTTGATCGCAGAAGATTATCTGAGGCCGCCGTTTTCTTTCTGTTACATCTTTCCGAGTAGGAATGCTGCGAAGGTGGACATCAGTCCCAAAAGAAGCAGACTGCTGGACACTGTGGCACTGCTGGGCACTGTGGGGCTGCCGTTGCAAAGTTCCCCGCTGCACACACACACCCTTGCCTTCCGACCATCTAAAGTCTCATTCTTGCAACCATTGGTCACATCAAAGGCACATCCGAGATAGACTGGAAATAGAACATGTGTAGAATTCTGTATTTGTCCGAAAACAGGCAGGACGATTTCATATAAGCCGTACTGACTCGTCTACTTAGAGTAGAGTATTAACTGTCATATCAAAGTATTAGACACACAAGGTATGTCAATATTTTACTTTTAGGTGAAAATTAACAAGCGAGATCTATCTATCTATCTCTCTTTATCTCTCTCTCTCTCTCTCACCTGAAGTGTTAACCTTGGTTGTAGCACAACCATAGAGGCATTCGGTTGTTTCACTCGGGTTTTTGTCGGCACAATTTGTGCATAAGTAACACTTCACTGCGCTAGCTGAAAAAAAAATATAATCATTAGGGTAAATGCGCCATTTATTCTTTTGTCAAAGATGTAATAATCGTAGTAGTACTGATAACATAGTTAACTAGATGGTGTCGATGGGTAGCCATCGCACATCCCCGCACTTCCCCATATTATCAAGAGCAGCTCACTCCTAGGGACCACTTACCACACACACACGTACACACGCACGTACGCACACACATACACACACATCACTGCTTCATCCAAAGGTATTTAAAAATATAAATGTAAAACAAATCTTTATAAATATAAAAATACATGTATGTACACTGGTACATATACCGGTATATATATATA